TCAGTCTCTCCTTCGAAAACCTCGATGACGTAGCCCGGGGGTCGCAGTATCCCCCAGTGAACGTATTTGAACGCGGCTCGCAGATCGGACCCGAGCATTGCGTGAGCCCTTAATTGGGGCTCGTGATAACGAATAGATCGACAAGCAATCGGGTCGTGGCCCATGTGCAATCGCGGCAATGACCGACAGTAGCCCGATCCTAACATTGTCTGGAACTCAGCGCGTGTCCTGCTTTGCCAACCTCAGCGCGTGGCTATGATCAACATCGACGGCATATAATACGCTCCAGATGAAGTGGCCGCTTGTTCTGGCTGCGAGTTGAAGGGATATACGCTGATCGTTTTAAAACAAAAATGTTTTTCCGACGTCAATTGCAAGGGGTGAAAAACGAACGCGTGTTTCATTGTTGGGTCATAAACGTCAGGGATTCGTTCCATGGAACGAATCCTTGACGTTGCAAGCGGCATTCGCGCAAAGTACAAAAGTTGTTACACCGCCCCTTTAAGTCTGCCCACAGCCGATCGCTACGATTGGGTGGGGCCGATGCCTCCAATCACGGCGCTCGTTGTTACGCTGCAGCACCGGCTGAACCAATCACGAACGAAAGATAAGATGCGGGTTCGCCTTGTTCACTCATTGCGCGTTTTTTGGGCTATTTAGTCGATTATATCAAACGCAAAAATGTTCCAAAAGCAGGATGAATTCATGATTGAAAAGATTCACTCCGACGTAACGTAACAAATTAACAACAAAAGGTAAAACACCAACCGTGGCCCCCTGCCGGACGTTTACGGGGACGTGTGTGATAAGTAGACTGGTCGACCTCACCTCATTTGTGTCAGTGTATACTGAACATGCCACCTGCGTAGGTGGCGAAACGTTTGTACCTTTTGTTAATAATTTGTTATGTTAAGTCGGAGTAAACCTGTTCAATCATATATCAAACGCACAAGGGCTATGTGTGCTGTGACCATGTACTCTTAGCGCCGCTCATTGCTTCCATGGAATCATAGCGCCGGATCCGGTAAAACGTCATTAGAGTGGATTCTGAGATCGTCTGTTTATGGTGATAACTCAATTTACGGGCTCTAATCATCCTAAAAACCCCAAAATTACACTCACGGGCGGCCGATTTCCTCATAAAAATCGAATCGAAGAGCGTTACACGCTTCTCTTTCTGCGCCTTGGAGCAAAACAAGGGAGCAGGGGGGCTCAAACCATCCTTGCTGCGTTACTTCAAACCCCGAAAAAATTCACGTTTTTGGTGAAAATATAATTTACAACGCGCCTAAAAAGAGAAATAATAGTAACGTTCGGAATTTCGACTCAATTAACCCTTTTCATATGAAGCAGCATTGGGGGATCGCCATTGCTTGGACACGAAGCACGCGATTGGAGCAGAATCCTCGCCGAACGCTGACGTTCCACTCGTGTTCAATACATGCCCAGTGTATGTGAGCAAGCAATGGCAGACGGGCATTGGCGCGGACCTTCGAAAAGGGTCTATTAACTACCCGAATAAACAATATGGCCTCAAAAACAAGCTTCTACAAAAAACGCTTGAGTGCCACTTTAAAACCTGTTCACACATACAGCGGAAAGCTATTAGCGGCGAGATGTTTCGGTGGGGCCCTCGTTCGGTTACCTTTCGTGACGTCATTACCTCGTGAGCAGCAAGTTCAATGGTGTTTGTGATGGCATGGTGGAAGCCTGAAATCATAGCGCTCTCAAAGACACACTGCAAACACCATCAAAATTGAAGTTCTTACATTCCTCTTATTTCCGTCGATGAGACATCCTTTGCTGACGTCATAGGCAGCATTCCTCCAATTGTGGTGGGCCTGACCACAGTCACGCTTTCGATCACTCACGTCGCCAATAGGCGCGCATTCACTGGACGACATATTCGAGGGCGATGTTTAGGGCGCATGCTCAGAACGAGCTTATGTTAATAGCGTGCTAAGACCGGCATCTTGATGGTGTGGAAATGCACGTTGCAAAAGAACTCTGGAAGCTCGCCGTCAGCACGCGCTCAGCAACCACGCACGCAGATATGGCCGCCAGTGAATACTCCATATAGGGTTCAGCGCCGACTTTGCGCTAGGCGCTTGCTGAAGGAATTGTTCACCAGCTTTGTATCGCACCGTCAAGACTGTTGATCATGGCAGGCGATAAGTAGCTGCATGAGACGCGTGAGCAGCGCTATTGGCGACGTGAGCGATCGAAAGCGTCGCTGTGGTCGGCCCACCACAATTGGCCGAATGCTGACTATGACGCCAGCGAAGGATGCCTCCTCGACGGAAATAAGAGGAATGTAAAAACTTGAATTTTGACGGTATTGGCGGTGTTACTTTGAGAGCGCTATGATTTCAGGCTTCCACCATGCCCATTAAAAACACCATCGAACTTGTTGTTCACAAGGTAATGACGTCACGAAAGGTAACCGAACGAGGACGTTACCGAAACATTCTCGCCGCTAATACATCAGCGCTTCGCTGCGTGTGAGAACCGGCCCTTAAGTTACCTTTTTTATGGCGAATTCCACGGGGCGTTTTGGAGCGCGCCGGGATCAGTTGACCAGATCTGCTTTGGAGCACACGATCCGAACGGGGTCGCGCCGCCTACGGAGCCCCAATGGAACATGACCACTGCTCGGGGATCGGCGGACGCCTTCCCGTCATTCAACTGCCCGGAAATCCCCTTTCCGCGGCAGCCGCGTTCGTTTCGAAGACGTTTTCGCAATCGCGGTGCTAACACGTGTTCGACGCACGAGCGGCAGGAATGGCTCAGGCGCTTCAAAGATTGCCGGAATGCTCGTAGCACGGCAAATACTCTCTCTTCTCCTTCCTGGAAAACGAACCGGCTGTCGAGCCACGGGGTAAGCAAGCGGCCATTACGAATTCTTCTGATGTCGAGACAATCTAGGAGCCCAGCCCGCGACGTGTTTCTTCTTCTCCTGAGGCGAGATGGGCGAGATCAGGCGAGATGCCCCACGAGAAAGGAAGTCACGTGTGTGCGCCGAGGGCTGGCCCGGCTGGCTTCCGGCTGAATCCGACGAAATCGTGGGAGCGACTTTTCTCGGATCCAGATCGAAATCTGGAGCGGGAGCTAATCCAAAACGACCAGTGAAACATGTCGGTCTCGATCCCGATCGCCAAGTGAAATAGGCTCGCTCCAGAAAAGTCGATCCCGGCGCGCTCCAAAACGACCTGTGGAATTCGCCATAAGAATCTCCTTCTGTGGGGTGCCGTCTTTTCCTGTGGGCTGTGGAATGCGTCCTGAGCATGCGCAGTAGCTCTCTTTGACGAAACATAAAAAGCCGCGCTTGCGTACACAGACCGATGACTCGGCATTTTGTGCCTTTGTAATAAGCGTTACAAAGGTATATGGACCTAAAGAAACTTGCTGGGATTTGACACTGAACATGAATTTCCACGTGCTTACGTAATACGCTCAGTGCCACCAGCTCGTACCGTTTCATTTTACGTGTAATTTCTAAACGTGTTTCCAGCTCCTTCATTCCCTGAGCTCCCTTCGTATATTGAAGGCTCTCCCAGGGAATTCGCAGGAGAATGGATGCACTGGAAGTTTTTACATTGTCTGGTGACTTATATTCAGGAGTGCTATGGCTCGCCGAGACTCGTTGACTCGACGCTCTTTCCCGCAGGAACCTTATCGACGCCTCTACGCGGTCTGAAGCCATCTTACCGATGGCCCTCTTCGTCGCTGCATGCCTCGCGGAGTTCCTCCTGTCGAACTACGCGGTCCAACAAGTTGCTGTTTTGGGGTGCCGCATCCGATCGATGCTACAAGCGGCCATCTTCAGGAAGGTGATTTCGTTGCTGCTGATTATAGAGGCCGATGTTAAGTCCACGATCGCTTGACGTTACATTCATCACGTCAGGGTGAAAGCATAAGATGCCTGCTATAACCATGAGCACTCTACTTGCCCCAAATGCAAAGCGCATGTGCTTGATGTCTATTACAATTTCAAACTTGACTTGTGAAATTAAACCTCCTGTGGCACACATCAAGCGTACGCCTGGGCAGGGTAAGTATAAGAGATAATTCATTTTTCCTCGCACAGTTAAGGCTTTTTGAGAGCGTCATGCCCCCCTTATGGCACTGGCATAACATCTTCAACACAGAAGTTATTGGCATCAGTTGCTCTTATATTGATTGAGGTATATTTAAGTCATCCTCGATAAACTGTAACTATATGTTTTGAGCACCAAGAAACTAAGTGTTTCCCTTAAAATGCAGAAATTAAACTGCGATGAAGGGGTTCAGCGATCTTGTGAAGATGTTGATTACAGTGCAGTTCGTTTTCTTGGTTTCCGTTGTATGTTTTTGTTTTGTACGTACCATATTCCACCTGCACAGGATAACTTGTGCTACCGCTTTATGTTCAGGGACGTGTTAAGGGCGGTTCACACACTTGCGACAGCTTATGACCGAGTGCTTTAAAACCCCTTGGAATCTTTTATGAGAAAATCTGCTGGTGCAATCTATCGGGCAGCCATGGAACCTTCTGCATTTCCCTATTTTTCTTTTTTTTTTTTCGCGCTCTATTTTTATTAATTAGAAGAAAGGTTCGTGCTATTTATGAGAAATGGTCGTTTATAACATATAAGCGACCATTTCTTATAGATGCTACTTACATCATAATCTCGCAAATCAGAAAAACCTTCGCTCTACTGAAATGCGGTTCCAGGGTTGCATCATAGATGGCGCCGACGTGCCAGTGTGTTTAAAGCGCTGGATGGATTTTAGAAAACAAGTACCACCAAGCTGGTGCATGTTGGGACTCACTGGAGTCAAAAATGGCGGAGCGTCGCCGCCAATCTAGTTTGTCGCGGTGGCGCGGCGCCGGCATCTACAGTAGACCAATAGAAGCGCGCTCACAAACGGCGGCGCGTCACCGGTAGCCACAGCAGACCTTGCAATAGGAGCATGCGCGTCTGGACGTGGGATGCGCAATGAGCCAAAAATGGCGACGCGTCACCGGCATCCAATTGGAGCGCCCGCAACACGATTAAACGATGGCGGTACGTGGATAAGTCAGGATATCCAGCGGTTTAATTGTTTTCTCTCCTCGTAAGCGAAGGCCTTGGTCGTACACAGTCGCAAGTATGTGACCGGGCATTGGTTGAAAACGCATCATTGAAGTAATATCTGCACGGCTATTATCCACAGATGACTCGGCTGTCTTCATCGGCCAGATCACGCACGTTAGCCGGTTACCTTACCTCCATTCTGGTCGTGGACTGCCTCCAAATTGCCTCGAGCGTTTTCTTGCTGCCCACTCCCCTCACCGGAATCCTGTGCACACCCGTCGTCCTCTACATGCTCTTCAGCCGGGCGGGAGTTCTGGCCTCGCTGAGCTGCGCCGCCTGGATCGCCCTGGTACTCTTGCTGCCCGTTCCGCTCTCCGCACTCCAGAAGAAACTATGGGTGAGTTCGTGGCGTGTTCTCGCAGCTATGGGTTGTAACTATAAGGCTCCGTGTTCTCGGAGTTCAGGGATGGGCAAAATACATGCAAGTATGTATCGAAATACAAATACAAAATACTTTGTCAAAAATGTATTTAATTACAAATCTAATTGCATTTAAAAAAAAGGATTTAAGTACAAGATACAAATACAACGAAATGTAATTGGTCTCCTCCAAATTCTTTTCCAAATACATTCCTCAAAATTTGCGTAAGCGACTTCAGGGCACATGGAAAGGGTTTCTGAGTATCTCGTTTTAATTTTGCATTGCACACTCGGGAGTTAGTGTGCGAGGCTCTAGTAACGTAATAGAAATATAATCCCCCCCCAAAAATGCAATCAGCTTGGACGTAATAGGTGAAAAAAGTACAGAGCTTCAAGCAGCGTTTTTTGTCGATTACATTTTGGTATAGACCAACAAAGAACGGAGACCACCAAGACGCGCAGCACTAGCTAGAGAATTTTTTTTTTTTTATGCAACTCGCACCACTTGCAAAAATCTGGACAACCCGCGCATTTAGAATGTTCCAGGCAAAAATATGGATAGAAATCAGGCTGGAAAGCATCACAAGTTGTCACAGGCACTTATTTAGCCAGTCTGCCTGTGAACGTCGATTTGTCACTATCTTTTCCTGGACTAGCACCTTAATCACATAGTCACTAAACGCTTGTGCTTGATTGAGTGACACTGCATTCGGTGCAGAACATACTTTTCTTCCTGCTCTGGACAGTGACAATGAATTTGAGGGATGTATTTTCGCCCACAAAATTGTATTTAATTACAATTGTATTTGAAATACCCATGTTTTAGTATTTAAATACACACGTCAAATTCATTACTCAATTTGTAATTAAATACAAATGCAAAATACAGAAAGCATTTGAAATACCTATTTCAAATACTTGTATTTGAAATACTGCCCATCCCTGTCGGAGTTTATAATTCGTCAAACTCGGAGGGTGTTTTTCGGAGTTTATTTTGGCTCTGTGCTAATCAAACTGTAAAAAAAAAAAGTCTTTTATTTTTTGACTTGGGTGGGGAGTGTCATTGACGCATAAATATTCGGAGTTTATCGGATAAATCCGAATTGACCAAAATTTTACCGGCGGGTGTTTTTTGGAGTTTTTCAGATTTTTCCGAAAACACGGAGTTCTACTTATAGCTTATAAGACATACATACCATTAAAGTTTCTAGATAATTAGAGCTCTTCGTGCTTTCTACAGGTAGCGGCATTCCTTGAAGCACCGACTGCATAAAGGTGCAGGTTTTAGGAAACGAATGGCGGTGGAAAGCAGGAGACTAATCCGAATGACGCCATTTTGTTTCAGCGGAGTAGGCTTGGTCATTCGTACTGGATGTAATATTACCTGAAAGAGAGAAAGAAACAAGGTATCGAGGGACAGTACAAACAGACGCACAAATTAAAAGCACAAGGTCATGACACATGCGCTATGCCCGAATGGCTCAGCCGGTGATAGTTCAAGCACTGAAAGACGACGACGCACGTGGCGTTGCACTTTTCGCACTACTTGAGTGGCTCCATCGATTTGCAGAACCGGTCTTTTTTTTCTTTTTTTTTTTGCAGCCCTGGCAAGGGAATAGGCTTACGACAGTGACGTAGCCAGGAATATTTTCGGGGGAGTGCTGAGGTGGTTGGGATGTCCACAAGCTGTTCACAGCAAATAAAAGAGAATGTATATCAGAATAAAACTAGTTTTCACAGATTCAGTCGGCAGGACTACAGAATACAAGGAAGTGGAAGACAAGTGAAGTTTCAGCATGACTTGGGGTGTAGAGAGGGGGAGGGGGAGTCAAAATGCATGTGTATGCTATAGGGTCGGCTGGATTTGGGGGGAGGGGGTTGAAGCCTCTTAAGTCTCTCCCCCTCCCCCCCCCCCCCCCCCCCCCCCCCCCCGCTACACGCCTAGGTTACGACGCAAATATGCGTAACGTTTATCCTGTTTACTAGCTTGTTCTTGTTCTATTTGCGCTATTTTATTAGCACTAAATTGTTCAAACTAGCTCAGCAACGCAGATGTACTTTACGAGGTGAAGGAGGGAATGATTGAATGAAGGTGCCCATGAGGTTGGGACCATAAACTACATAGAGACTATCCTTATTAGTTCTTCGGAAAAACTGTTCAACCACGCAGTTCAAGGACGCTGAAACCCTAGAAATTTTACCGTCATCCCTGAGTACTTATTCACCAGGTGCGTGCTCTGCGAGCCCGCGACGAGCGACTGCAGCTCATGTCGGACCTGCTGTCTTCCGTTCGCCTGGTGAAGATGCACGCCTGGGAGGATGTCCACCGGGACAGAGTGGAACGTGCCAGAAACGCCGAGGTGGCGCTCATGTTCCGCATCAATCTGCTGGATGGTCTCATCGACTCCCTCTACAGCGCCAACAGTTCTCTGGTAACGCCGCCTGTCTTGCTTTGTCAACAAGAAACTGAGCGTAAAGTCGGAGTCAAACTGCTCGTACGTCGTATAAAAGACACGGTGTTTGCATCAGACATGATGACACAGTTATTTGCGGACGCACCTCAGTCATGGTCAAAGCACGTTTGCTTCATTTATATGTACGCTTCGAACTTGACTGCAGACACTTTTTGTGACAAACAGGAACGCCATACAAGAAAGAAATATGCCCCAGGCAGCGGCCGGAGACTGTCTTTTGTATGGTGAATTAGTTTGGCAGTTTGAGCGTGGCCTAATGATTTACAATTACCACTGTGTGGCCACTTGACCCTGCCCTCCCGTGCGGAAGTGTTTATCTTCTTTTTAGAGCGCAGCTCTTAGTGGCCCGTTTCCAGCCTGAGCGGCGTCGGCGTCGGCGTCGGCGTCGGCGTAACCGGGGGGGGTCACGTGACCCCCCCCTGAGATCACGTGACTACCCGCATGTGACGTGACCCCCCTCAGTACCCTTCCCTACTCCTCCTCAAGAGCTGCGCTCCAATTCGGCGTTACAGGGATTTCTAAACGGCTTTCATTTTTTTTTTTTTTTTTAAATTTTTATCAAGCATCTTTGATCTTTTTATGTTTTCCAGATATAATTAAAACAACACCCGTTTATTCTTTCGATGTTTGATTCATCTGTCATAGACCAATTTTGCTCTAAAATCTTGTTTCACCTCACTCCCCCTTGCTATGTTTTCTGTCATTCAAAACAAAGAAGTGTATGCAAAAAAAAAAAAAAAAAAGTCTCAACTTGAGGAACACAGCAGGTATAGAACACGAATGGATTGTTCCCAAATCGATTGTCTTTGCTTTGTTCTGGTGTCCAGTTCGTGGTCAAGCTCGGTTCGGTACTCTGTCATTAACAGCGAACTTTGCATTACGAAATATTGGCGTGAGTCGAGCTTTATCGAAAGTAACGATGCTTCTTTCCCTAATGAACATCAACACAAAAAACAAGATCGACCTGTTTATCTCCATAATCAAAACATCAATGTTTGCTTTAGCGGCTCATTTTCTTTTAGTAAAAGACAAAAAAAAAAAAGCTTTTACCTAGCTTTCTTTAGTGAAAAGAAAAAAAAGAAACTTCTTCACGCTCAGTATAAAAAGACGACCTAATAAAAAAAGGAAATTAAAAAGAAGACTAAACTTGCTTGGGTGCAAAGTAACGCGTGAATGGCCAATAATGCAAGAGCTGAGACATTGATTGTTAGAGCTTCACGTGTCTAACACGTCTCACTTGTCCCGCAGCTGATGATCATCCTGTTTGGAGCACTGACGATCCTGGACCCCACACGGAGTCTGACTCCCGGAGCGTCATTCACTTGCGTGTACCTGCTCTTCGTCACAGACCTCGTGAACGTCGCCGCTTCCACCTTCCTCCGGCAAAGGAGCCAGGTACGGACAGTCACCTCACACAGTTCCTACCGTACAAAATAGCTTTCCAGCAGAATGCGCTTTTTTAAGAGCAAAAGAGAAAATGCCGCTACGACGCTTCGTATTGGTAAAACAAAGGGGTTTAAAAAAAGTTTAGTGGACAGTCTGTGATATGGCGATAATTTTCACTTAGTTTTAGATGCAGTGTTCGTGACACAGGTGGTTGCCGGTTTTTTCCGTTTTGTTCTCCCAATTAGCAGCCAATTTTCCCAATTCCCAATTAGCGTTTTTTCCGTTTTGTTCTCCTAACCAGCGGCCAATTAGTGGAGTTAGGTTACGGGTCTCTCTGGGGTACCGAGCTTTGAAATTAAAATGAATGAACTTCTGTTGTCGGCCGCTCACTCATTTTAGAGCGCGGCGCCCGTTTCCGGCTTGAGCGGCGTCGCCGTCGCGGTCGGCGTAACCGCGCGTTGCATTATGGGACGTTTCCCATGATGACGTCACGTGTGACGTCACGAGGGTCACGAGTAAGATCACGAGTGACGTCGTGAGTGACGTCACGAAGGTCACTTGTGAAGGTCACGACGAAGGTCACTACCTTCACGAGTGACCTTCGTGAAGTAAGGACGTCACGAAGGTTACTCGTGAAGGTCTCGACAAAGGTCACAAGGGTCCCAAGTGACGTCACGAGGGTCACTAGAGTCACAAGGGACCGTCACTTAAAATCCTTGTGACGTCACGAGGGTCACGAGGGAGGCGGGAGGGGAGGGAGGAAGGGGCAGGAGGGAGAGGAGGAGGAGGGGATATGGAGGAGCAGGAGAGGCATACCCTCCTCTCCGTACCCTCCCCTCCTCCTCCTCAAGAGCTGCGCTCTAATTCGGCATTGCAGGGAATTGCAAACGTCTTTCATATTTTAGCCTTTTTGTTTTAACATCCGCGTCACCATTGAGAGTGTTAGTGTTTTGGTTTGCTTCATTTCGTTTTGTAGTATATGCAAATAAACGAAGCAGAATTCTAGTTAGGACCACATAGGTGTAGCTTGAATGCAAGAAGCAGTTACGATATTAGAACTGTAACGGTAACTTGTTCCATCATTGAGAAGGAACGAGTTTTCTTTCCTGGTTCGGAGCTAGTGTGAAACACTAACCGTCTAGGGCCTGGAAAGATTACTTTGAATTTAGCAGTGAGCGATATGTGACAACGAACACTTGAATCGCGACATCTGAGCAGCAAGAATGGCGTCCATTGATCTGGCGCGGTTAATAAATTATAAACGTGTTTTGCTCAGTTAACTGCTTTATGTGTTACAGGGCTCGGTGGGGCTTTCAAGGATTGCGAAGTTTAGTAATGAAGAGGAGCAGGACGAGAAGTGGATGGTTCGAGAAAGTTACCTGAACATAGGTAAACATTAACGGAAGACACGGCTTATCTGCAGTTGAACATAAACGTTGGTTTTCATTCCATTTGCTTGAACATGACGATGACAGGTCATTGAAATGTCTTTGTTTGTATAAGTCATATCTCTTTTTGTTGTTGTTGTTAGAACCCCCTAATATTTCTCGTTTTCCTCGGAGAGTTGCTGATTTCAGGATATTCACATTTGTTTGTTTATTCAGCCTGATATTTTTCGAGGCCCGTCAATCCACTAGACAGCAAATTGATCCTTTCTTCAAACCAGGGCTACCGGAACATATCCTCTCAGGGCATGTCTTGAGGTAAAAAGCCGCATTATCATGTGCTATACGTCGTTTTACATTAAGTCTAGGCACAGCCGACGCTATGTGTTGATGGGATCAATCGGACCGCGTCAAAAGCGCACCATCTGGGTGTTCTTCATGATTTGTACGTGTGCTATCATTGCTGAACCAATCATAAGCAGAAAACACGTAGTTACTTACGCTTTTGACACTGTTTGATTGGTCCCCTTAGCTCGTAGCGTCAGCTGTGTCTAACCTTAAACTGAAATGAAGTATTAATACTTTTATAGAGAACGTGTTTCTGTTTTCGGGTATTCCTACGAGCTCAAATTGCGCCCGTATATCAAGCTAATTTTTTTTCTAAGGAAAAAAAAGGCTATACGTTTACTGTTTATACGTCGAGAGGTCGGTTGTTTTTGAGACATGGTGACACAGGTTCACAATGTACGTGCCAGATCCAGTCATTGCGGCGTCTACCATAAGCACTTTCAGGTGTATCACGCTATGGTGAGTATGCGACAGTGCACCGGTTCATCCAGATCACCGTGATCCAGAGTGAAGCTAGAAAAACTGGGATCTGTTCCGAATTTCATGGGTTCCGCAGCGTGAGCCACGTCCTATAAGCGTCTTTGTGCGAACACACTCGGCTTCCGATCCCCAGCGCAATCAGCGATGACCGAAAAGCTACTCATGGTCATTTGAAGGGCGACCGATTTTAAACCTGTTTCTTAATTGCCTTTGCCACGCTGGCTTAATATTACGAACTCTTGTCTCTGTTTATGCTATCGAAACGCTTGCCGCCGTGTTCGACCTCGATGCAGGCACCGTGGTCCTGGAAGACTGTTCATTCGCTCAGTGCAAGAACAAGGACGGCTCTGCAACCACCATCCTGGAGGGCGTCAGACTGGGCGTGGAACCCGGCTCTCTTGTCGGGGTCGTGGGGTTCGTGGGAGCTGGGAAGTCCACTCTGCTGGCCGCCATCTGCGGGGACCTGCACTGCCTGAGTGGCGTCGTCAACGTCAGGGTGTGTACACAAATTATAACTATGTGCAAAAGGTAAGGATGGTCGAAGTGTCAAGGTCACCTCTGGAGCGCCGTGCACAAAGGTCGGATTATGCGCTATGGACCAACACGCTGCTTCACAAGCGCACCCGCTTTTCCCCACAACAGGTGTGGGCACCGCGCGTGCGCACGAACCAGATTCGGGTGAGAAGAACCGTTTACGCATGCGCAGTACCGACAGCAGCTCAGCAGCGAGACGTCCGAGAGTTGAGTTTGGGTATAGCAACATAAGGAAGGGAAGAGAAGCCACTCCCACAAAGCTTTCTGCTCATTTTGATTTGTGATCTTCCCCTATCCACTTGCCTATTCTTCGACATTTTCCCCACTAAAGTGTAAAAAGTGGAGGGCTTTGTGCGAAGGGCTTATAATATTATTCTTAACCTTCAACAAACTAAAGCCCATCCCTTCTTTGGCTTGTAATGAGGAAAACATGATGCGTTTTTTACCATCCAGTTACCGATTTTCTTCGTGTGTTTAATGTGATGTCTAAAGTGTGTAATATAAACTTACGAAACTGATTGTAATGTTGTTTTTCAAAATTCTCACTTATCGATGCAGCTGCACTGATATCAGCTTAAGTTAATTCGTCTCGTTGAAATTGTTTTCCGATAGGGACACTTAGTGTAACTTATCTGATAACCACATTCACTGACCCATGCAGTCAATCGCTTGAGATCTCCCTCTACCACTGTACTTGGGCATATCCCTCCCCTGTTGGGGTAGGAGTCATGCCCGCTCCTAACCCCACTACAACCTCCTGGGAGGCCGCTCTACTCAGCTCACACACAGCCCGAGCGGCAGCGAGCGCTGCTCGAACGGGCTAGACGGGTAGCGGTGGCCTGCGGGGCCTTGGACTTGGGGACCTGACCCGGGGGGCTTCATCACTGAACAGACTCAATTAAAGTTTTTATCACCACCACCACCTTCAAATCACGTGGTCTAACGCAGGGCCGGGTCGCACTCGTGCCCCAGTTGCCGTGTGTGCACAACATGACTGTCCGTGACAACATACTCTACGGCGAGCAGATGGAAGAAGACCGCTACCTCTGCGTGCTTCGAGCCTGTCAGCTCCTGGACGACCTGTCCAGCTTCACAGCTGGGGACCTCACCGAAATAGGCGAGAAGGTGGGCTGCTCCTCCTGCGAAGCCCTCTACTCTTTCCACTTCAGCAAAATGCCGCAGAGGAGGAGAAGAGTGGCTCGTCTCCCCTCCAGTGTTTGCCCTGCTGAAGTGGTAATATGGGAGGGCCTTGTGGGGAGGAGGCTGTCCTGCATTTTTGAACCTGAAACGGTGGAGTTGACTCTTTAAAATCATAGTGACCTACTAAGGTATACACTAGTCGGATACGTTGTTGGGCTGCTGGTTCATTTTCGTTAAACATGTAAAATAGTGCGAAAAAGACAAGGACACAACGAGGGGAATCTTTGCTTCTTGTCCTTGTCGTTTTTTCCGCTATTTTATGTGTTTAAAACTAAGGTATGCATACACTCAGTATTTTGCATCTGGCCGTCATGCATAGTAAGGAAATTTTATTTGTGTTTTTACGATACTGCAAAGACAGGTTAGTACTGCACTATTAGAAATTTTAAAGATTTCTCTTGCATAAGAACTAGTAATATGTCATACAATTGCACTGACAATTGTCCGTACAAATTTATGACATATTAAGACGTGCCTCACACGTCCAGTGCTGAAGGAATAGTATCCTTTGAGAACTCGGGCCATCGACACAGTGGCACAAACACACTGGCATCAACACAGTGGTATTGACACTGAGCCATCGACAAGGGGCTACCGACACAGTGCCATCGCCACAGCGTCGCATCGGTGGGAGAAAAGAACCAGCAGCACAGTCTTAACTAATGATATTTGGTTTCGGGCATCCCAATAATAAACGTTTCGTGATTTCCTTCCGAGGTAGATTTAAGATGCCAGTGAAAATAAATGAAGCTATTAAACGGTTTTAGATTACATATTTAATGTAGAAAGTCAAAATCCCGATGCCCATTCTTTGGTGTCACGATTACACCGCAGTAAACAATTATCAAATTATTGGTTAACAGATCACGTTGCAATGTAGCTCCAACCTTCGCTATATACCTTTCTAGTGATTATGAACTGGAACTTTCATTGTTATTACAGCCTAGTTGTGCGTCTGCGCATGAATGTTTCATGTTCATAGGGGGAGACTCTAAGTGGCGGTCAAATGCAAAGGATCGCCTTGGCCCGTGCCGCTTACAGCCCTCGCGACATCTACCTGCTCGACGATCCCTTGAGCGCTGTAGACAGTAAAGTTGCTGATCGAGTTTTCCACGATGTCCTCGGACCAGAGGGATTACTAAGAGATAAGGTAAGTAGTCCAGCTAATAGACTGGCATAGAAAAAAAGTTTCAATGCCACTTTTCTGTAGAATCCATTATATTTAATATTCCTCAGTGACACCCGTGCTGAGAAGGCCTTTTCATCTCTAAAGACATGTTGAGATGTTCTTAAATGTTTGGAAATTTAACATTGATGTTTTATTTTTCATAGGCATGATCAGGAGAACTTGCTAGACAGGTCGAGTAGAACAAAAGTGGAACATTAAAATATTTACACAGTGTTAAGGTTGCAAGTAGCCTTAACGTCAAAACTTCTAGTTTCAAGAATAATATTATGCGGTATATTATTGATATAGTATGATATCGTCAATGAATCATTGCTCCGACAACTGATAATATTTCTTATGTCTTGTGTAGCTCTAAGAAGTTCATAGGAAGAGACGTTGATCAAAACAAGGAAAACATCGATGACCATAAAGGACATTACTTTCCTTTTCAGACCCGGATCCTGGTAACTAACCAGGGGTCTTTGCTGAGACATGTGGATACAATTCTAGTGGTGCACGACAAAAACGTGACGCCCTTCTACAGCCTAGCCGACCTGTCAGACGACGCCAGAGTGCCAGAGACGATACGACGGGACCTCGATGCCTCTGCGTCACCGAAAGCGCCGAGTGATTACAGGTAAGAGAGAGCAAACATGAACGAAGACAGCAACACTTTGCGCAGCGTAATGTTCATCCAGCCTTTTATATGGACGCTTTCAACACGCGTCAGAATGAGCCACCATGGCCGACCTTCTCTTGTCTTACCGAGATACCGAGCCACGGAAGCGGGCGCTGACTAGCCTCCGCAATGGCCTATGCTGGGGAGAAAGACTTAGTAGCACCCAAAGTCGCAGTAACCCGTCCTGTTGTGGTAACGATGAAGTAAAGCGAACGGGATAAGAGGAAACAAAAACTGAAGGTCGGTTATGGCGGCGCCGATGCACAACTGCCTGCAAGCGTCTATTAGCCCCGAGAAGTTCGCGTGGCGCCTTCTTACGGCGAACCGGGGTGACGTCACGGCGAGGAGAGAATTTTTCCCCGACTCGCCCCGCTCGCCCTGTGGAGGCTGTGACGACCAGTCTTGGGTAAGTTACTTTTAAAAAGTAATTCGTTACAGTTACAGTTACTTTCAGAAAAAAGTAGTGAAGTTACCGTTACAGTTACCGCAACTAAAAAAGTAACTCGTTACAGTTACAGTTACTTTTAGAAAGTAACGACGTTACTTTTCAGTTACTTTTTACATAACACAAAAAAAAAATTAGGAGAAACTAGAAAACGCTTTTCACCAAGTTTATTTGAATAAAATTAAAAAGTGTGTTTTTTACTTCGTATTGTAAGTTGGCAGCAGTTGCTTCTCGAAATTAGTTTCTGAAAGTTTCCCTTGTTTGATAACGAACACGTCCCTGCCCTTGTTGAACAGGCGCTCGTCTAACGCGCTGGATGGGATTGCTGTGTTGTTTCGCCGGAAAAGGTTTTTGATTGCCGGGTAGGCGGTGAGGCAATAGAGTGCCGTTTTCTGCGGTCAAGGTGTTAGTAACCTCCTCCACGTCAGCAAAATACTCTCTGTACGCCGGCCATGGTAGTTTTTCTTTATTCTTATCAACATTCATATCCTTCGTAGCACTAGCTTATTGCTGGCTCGATGACGGTTGCGCTGGGTTCATACAGTCCCTGGACATATTTCAGCTTGTACCCGGCAAGCCAGAAACAAACCCCGCGCAAACAGTAGTAACTTTTGCCTCGACTGTTGACACTACACCGGATTAATGGCGCATATCAAAATACGAAACATGCGCAGAGCGGAGTGGCGGCGCTAATTAAAATACGAAACATTCGCGGTGCCCTCCGCGTGTATTGTTGTTTGATTCACCCGATTAAAAAGCGTTTGCGCAGAAAAAAAGAAAAACCGCAAAAGAGAGAGCTCTTCAAGACACTAAGATGCAAGTGTTCAGTCACGAAGTACAAGCGCGTGCTAAAGATAACTACTTTTTTTTTTTTTTCACCGAACCTACACGTGGCTATATTCGGGTCGTGACTGGCGAGAAAGAACGTATGCCTTTTATTAGCCTCGGAGTATGCCTTTTATTAGCCCCGAGAAGTTCGCGTGGCGCCCCCTTAAGGCGAACCGGGGTGACGTCACGGCGAGGAGAGAATTTTTCCCCGACTCGGTCCGCTCGCCCTGTGGAGGCTGTGACGACGCTAGCTGTCGGCGCGCTCGTTTATATTTAAATTTTTTTTTTGGCGTGTTTTTCGTAGGAAGTGTAAATTTTTATATGTTTTTTTATTGAGGTATGGCCTGTAGCTACAGGCGAAACTTCAAGCAAAATTTTAAGCATGGTTGACAGGGCAGGCAACGCATGAATCACAGCTGGTATGTGAAAATAAAGTATGGCCACAATTGCAGGAGCATCACTATAGATTTACATCTCGCACAATAAATGCTGCTAATGGTCTGAATCAATTGGACGGATATGTGTATAGTATTTTTTTTTGTATCTCTGTTTTTGAACACGATCGCCGAAGCAGAAAAGCTGCAGGCTGCTCGAGCAACATGCTACATACAGTCTGGGCCATGGGGAGAGAATCACAAGTAAGACAGCCCAAGTGCAGGGGCAAAGTAAAAAAGAAGGAACGTTTATTACATACATTGCTCGCATTTGACCTTTGCTGGATTCGGATAGTATTTCAATGGACAATACGGGTGGTATGTGTGGACTTGTTTATATCAACCCTCAACTAATGTATAACAAACGTAAGCGAAGGTGTCTAGCTCGTTTTTAGTCCCTTAAGCCCTAAAATTGATATTTTACTTAAATCGAATTGTCCTGAAGCTAAAATACCAGAAGCTTTTTTTCATGGAGACTGTCGCCCTTCACAGGTTTCACATTTTCTGCTACTAGTGCTGCATCTACCGGTGGACAAACGTTCGAATGCTTGCTTTTACTCGTTTTCCTCTGTTGTCAGAGGGTCCAGCTTCAGGGAGTTTGGAGGCTGAGGAAGCTTTTGGGTGTATTTTCCGAATACCCAAGACTGGAATGAAGAATGTCAGGAAAAAAGTATAAACATGCCAAATTACGGCACTATTGCTGTGCATATTTTTGGCAGTTCAATACATATCATACATGCAACTGGGAGCAATTTGGCCGTTTTTGCTGCTGCTACCATACAAACTAATTTCCAGTAATTGTGCATCTTCTAAGAAATATACGCATACGCGTATAAACTATATAATTAACGAAGAAACTGCATTTATGTAAAACAACACTGCTCCACAAGCACTTCAAAGATAATCAGACATAGGGCCTTTAAAACATCTGCGCACCAGCGCATGCAGAGTGGCAGCGCAGAGTCGGGGTCGCGAGCTAATTTGTCGACCACCCAAAGGCCCATGATATAAATGCCACTTCAAATGCCTTGAAAGCGGGATGTAATATCGTCCTAAATCATGAACATGCAAGGAGCAGAATTCCAGCGTCTGAAACACTTGCGTCACCGCTTCACTTACCCCTCGCAAGATTGCCTTGTGTCGTTTGGGCGGACGGGAAGGTTCATCGGCGTAATTGCCTCCGCCGATTGCTTTCGGCATTTGTAACCCAATTTTCAAAGTCGAAGGGACAAGCGAACTTATAAAATGTACGGAAGCACGTCAATATCGGCCTAACTCAACGTCTTGTACACCGGGTAAACGAAGTCCAGCTCCTCGAAGAGCTTGTGGCACACAACGCCAAACCAGGAAACCGGCGCTGGGAAGCGAGCCGATGCGAGATCACGGAGCGGAGTCTTCCCCCTGACATCCCGGCACACCTCACCCAATCAGAGCGCGGCGACCGCAGCGAAGCTTGTGTTCGCTCTCGGGGCTAATACTGACAAAGCCAGCAGATCTCGCCACGAGAAGCGGCCGCCGAAATGAAAAAGGTGGAGCGGCAGACAACGGATGAGAGTAGAGCCACGTGACTGGCGTCCCGCTGCGGCGAGACGCCGAAAAATACTTCTCCCTAGCGAACAGGTGCGTTTAGGGTCCTTACCGCTGCAAAAGCTGTGCGCTGACGTTCAGGTTCCCCGAGAAATGGCTCTTTCATACTCTGTGCTACAGGTCCTCGCGTTTTAAATCTGCGAACGGGCACTCTATATGGCTCCGTCACCGAATTGTCAGTCTTTGTGAGTATAGAGGAGGCTGTGAATCATCCTGAGAACTACATAAAGAATGGCTTAACTCTTTGAGGTTTAGACCTCAGTCACGCTGATCTTACATCATACACAAAGGCACGATGAGAGAATTATCAGCGAACACGCCTCAGGCATGTTTTAAGCATGTTTGCTTCGTGCCCATGTGTGCTTAAAACATTTCTGCAGACAGTTTTTATTTGACCCCTGTGACAGGGCCGTCTTGCAAGAAAGAAGAACGCCTAAGACAGTGTTTACAGACCGCCCTTTGATGTGTCAGCGATCTGACCGCAGCTTTACGTACATTTCAACGACTGCACTGTTCACAAAGAGGAGGAACGAGCGTGGGTTCTGCACACGGGCAGCAGCTTCACCCTTCCCAAACTCAGATGGTGTACTTGTCCGATGTCCACAGATCGTTGTGCTGCCCGCAAGCGGGACGCTCTTCTATAGGTAACCTTACACGTAACACATTCCGATGTGCTCTCATGCCATTATTTTCGTACATTCCACCTCACCCGGCCAGATGCTCCGTCCTGACTCCTGTCTCTATCTTTTCATGTTGCTACTGTACGCCCTGTACTTTAGTATATTTCTATTGACCAGAGTGAAGATGCACGACGGTTTACGTTATCACGCTGTTTTCACAGTGCCACCGAGAAAAAAGAAGTACAGGAAGAAGAATACGATCGTCTGATGAATCAAGAAACAGTCGGCTTCAAAACTGTAAGTGCCATGGTAAAAAAAAAGAAAAAAAAGAAAAAAAAACAACTTAATATTTGTGAAGGTCTATTGTCACCGACAGCTTAAAAAAAAGGCAGGTCGTGGCATATGCGGAGCGCGAGTTCATGCGCTACTTGCGCAGGGGTTCCGGTGACGTCAGAACGCTGAGCTCCGACTGTCTCCGTTTGGAAGGATATGGTGGGTAAATCTCAAAACAGCTAGCATTGAACTCTACCCACTATCTTTCCATCAGAACCAACCAGAGATCCGTGTTCTGGCGTAACTGCAACCCCTGCGCAAGAAGCAGATGAAGTCGTGCTCAGCATTGTGTTCACCCTTACGCCTTCGGGATTTGTTCTTCAGCGCTCGTATTGGGCTAATACTGCCATCTGAGTGGTCGGCGTACCAATAATGAGATGCTCGCCACACGCCATGCCCCCTGCGTTTCTTGAGATCTCAGTTACTGACTTCCTCCCCCAGCACCCCTGCAAGCATCCTTCTTGCCAAGTAAAACAAATCGGAACTTAAGCTATGTAAAGAATCACGCAGTAAGAAAAGTTGATTTTCCAATGGGTGTCAGTGGCCGCATGTATATCTTAGCTTGAAGCGTATGTTCGCGCTCCCAAAGTGACGATGTTTTAGATCGGTTCCAACTCCGTCCGGCTTCGATTCAAGCGATCGTTGTACTGGCGTGCACTTTGATGGACGTTGACGACCCCAGGTCAAGAGACACACTGCGGTAGTCAAAAGTGTTCGCCTGTATCCGTTAAAAAAAGAGACGGCGATATCCCCAGGGCCCTGGGAATACAAACATTCATCCGTATGTGATAAATTTGACGATCCCAAGTCGCATCATATGAGGATCTTCTGTGGTTTGTTTGACATAGAGCTCTTTGAAGCTGACCTGGGCGGTGTTGAAGCTGTCGGGACTCTGGGTTCCGGCATCCCTGCTTGCCTTCGCGGGAAGCGGAGTTGCCTTCACTTGGCAGCTGCTGTGGATGAAGGAGTGGAGGAACGCTCAATCGGCAGCGTCTACCGTCGACGGATCTCGGAACGTCGAGTGGGTTCTGGTTCTGGTGGCCCTCTGTTTGTCCGATGGTAAGCTCATGTAATTTGCGAGACCTTTAGACAAGCAATAGATCGTTCGAGATATTCAAAGCCAATATATCAATTGGTTTGAATTCGCATTCCTATCAGAAGGACGTAAAATGTTAGTTTGTAGCACTGATACTTATGGAGAGGCAGCCCATTCCCGTGGTCGTCTTGGGCTCTTTGCTTGGAACAAGCGAGCTCACGTGTTTAACCAGACCTTCTTGAACCTTGAAACACCTACCCGCGATGGAACAATTAAATAAATAATGCTGTTGAAAACTATTCATACACTATCTATATATTTTCTATTGGGTAATCTCGGCCGAGATTTTTATTTTGTCAATTCGTTTAGGGTTTTCTTGTAATATATACAGATATGCCAGGACGTACCGTGAAGTAGTGAACAAATGACAGAGGGACACATGGCCACATGTCATCGCTAACGGCGATTGCACGGGCACCGATATGTAATACCTGCGTACGCAAGTGTTTTGAAAGCATAGAAGACTGAAGTAGATTCAAGAGGACATATACGAAAGAGGGGGCGCATTGACGTGCTTCTGCTCCATTTGTCCAGGACTGCACATGTCGGTACTTAAGCCGCTGTCTCACTTCTGATGCATAATGTAAAAGAGAGCCTTCCGACACTTGTTTGAGGCGTGTTTCTTGCTTGTATGACGGCCCTGTCAAGTTGGTCATGTAAAAACTGTCTGCAGACATGTTCATGTATAAAGCAGACATTCTTATAACATGCTGAAGGCGTGTTCGCAGATAATGTCTGTCGTCATGTCTGCACCGGACACCATGTTTTTTGCATGACGTGTGAGCACTTGGACTGCGGCGTTTTGGACGGCCCTAGTTGAGCCACAACCATGTCTTCTGCCAACCTCCTTTGTCTTACACTGCACCTCTTTCCAGTGGTGCTTCGAGGCGTTGCCAGTGCTATGATGGCGGCCAGCACCCGGCGGCTCTCGCTGTCGCTGCACAGCAAAATGCTGAACGCCGTCCTGCTCAGCCCGGTGTCCTTCTTCGACACGACACCGAGGGGTCGCGTCCTGAACCGTTTCTCCCTCGACCTGGACGACATCGATGGCCGAATGTGCCTGAGCGGAAAGCAGTGCGTCCAGAACACCTTCCACATGATTGCCAGGCTCGTCGTTGTGGGACTCCAGGTGCCTATTGTCTTGGTCGTCGGAGCTGCCGGGGCCTTGGTGCTTGGCGTGGCTCTGGTAAGCTGCGTACGAGGCTTCGGTATCTGACTTCATGTGGGGTCAACTACCCTCCATTTTGCTCCAAGTCCGACCGTTAACGCTGGAGCCAATCTAGCGGCGTTAAAAGTTTATTGTCAGGGCGCTTGTCCTATTTACCGTTTGCTATCCTTTGCTAAACCAATCATGCACTTACCTCTAGCTAAGCCCTTATAAGACAGTGATTTTGTTATAGCTTAGAAGGGCAATGAAAATTTCTTTTTAGAGCGCAGCTCTTAGGCGCCCGTTTCCGGCTTGAGCGGCGTCGGCGTCGCCGTCGCCGTCAGCGTAACTGTGAGGTCACGTGACCTCCGTGAGGTCCCATGACCCCAGTGACGTCACTTGACGTCCGTGAGGTCACGCGACCCCGGTGACGTCACGTGACCCCAGTGAGGTCACGAGGATCACGTGACCTCACGGTTACGCCGACGGCGACGCCGAAACCGCTAGGAGGGAGGAGGAGCAGGCAGGATGAGGAGGTGAAGAGGAGAGAAAAGGGGTATACCCTCCCCTCAGCACCCTTCCCTCCTCCTCCTCCTCCTCCTCCTCAAGAGCTGCACTCTAATTCGGCGTTACAGGGAGTTGTAAGCGTCTTTCATTTTTCACTTCTGGTAAATACTACTTAGAATCACTCCCTAGCGCTAATAAGCGAATAAACTTGTCTTTTTTTCTGTTTCTAGTCAATGACAGTCGCCAAGAAAATTCGAGAAATAAGAGCATCGTTCATCCCCTCAACTCGGGGCCAGAACAGGCGACTCGGTGGCCTGGTGTCTACCCTGTGTCGCCAACGTTAATCATAGCCATTCGTTGGGGTTGGCAAAGTAGAAAGGGCGTGCTGAGCTGCCGGCATTAATTAATTAATGCCGGCAGCATTGAACCTGTTTGCTCTACTGACGTCTAACTGCTAACAAAACCGGTTTGCTCTACTGACATCTAACTCCTGGTTAGCTCACTTGGTAGAGCGTTTCACTGTAAATGGGGAGGTCCCTGGTCTGACACCAGGACCAGGCGGATTTTTTCGGCCGCGCACGAGTCCCCTAGCTGTGTTGGATTTTTTGTGTTTATTCTTTGTCTCCTCTGTTGCCCTTCTCCAGGGTTTATTTTCGTCATTCTTGTCCAATTCGCTTGCACCTTTGCATTTTATTGCATTATCATCTTAGCCTTAAAATGCAGCCGTTCGTCCTTGTTGGTGTTAGACTGGTGGCAGCTGATAAAACCCGTTTGCTCTACTGGCGCCTAAGTCCTGGTTAGCTCAGTTGGTCGAGAGCTACCCTGAAAATGAAGAGGTCCCTGGTTGAATACCAGGATCAGGGGGATTTTTTCGGTCGCGCACCAGTCCCCTAGCTGTGTTTGGATTTTTTGAGTTTGTCCTTTGTCCCCCTTGTTCCCCATCCCTAGGGTTTATTTTCGTCATTCGTGTCCGGCTCGCTTGCACCTTTTCATTGAATTGCATTATAAAATTTGTTTTGAACGTTTGGCCATGCGAAAGGGGTGTTTCTTTGTATTGACGAGTCGTTTGAGTCTGACGTTGTATCAAGGGAAATTACTTGTGGGTGATAATTTGTGAACAGGAATATATGTGTTTATTAGATAGGTAATCTCGTTTCGAAACAGACAACAATTTTCATTTACAAAACGTTCAATGAAATTTCCCACAGGGTAGCTCGGAAATTCACACTATTCACTATTTATAGCCGTAAAAATAGCTTTTCCGTAATCACGAATCTGTTTTACTACTTTCGGGGAATGACCTGTGGTAATATTTAAGGTAAAATTCAGCAATAAATGTTCACTAAAACCAGGTAGATAGGTAATAGTGGAAACAAGGTCGGTGAAGGTTCACATTACAATTTCTAACACTGAGGCACAGAAGGACGTGACTCTGATGGGGTTAGACAGTAGCTGTGAGAGGTTGTAGTCCGAATATAATTTGATGACTCTGTCACCATCAGACGAAAAATGGCTTGCGTGTGGTGTTTCTGCGGTCCACACAATATTTGGATCATTAAAATCACCTAGAAGAATGAAGTTTGGTATCATCGCGCTGTCCAGCGTATCATCGCTGGACAGCCAATGAGATTGCTGGATCAGTCGTTCAGAACAATAAAGAACCAATCACGAAGCAAGAAGCGTTATCATAATACACACCCCGCTTTTCTTCAGCTGTAACTATGACTGATTGACTAAAGAGAATATACATGAAGCGACATCATCTACATAGACAGGCAAGCTTGGACACTAACTCGATAATTATAAGCCCGAGACTAAAACGGACAGCCACGCACATTTTCTCCAGCACAGCTACTGATTTTACTTAGTGACGCCGCATTTATCTTGATGTTTAAGCACTGAGAATGAAATGGAATCTTGAAGAATCTTGAAGAATAAAAAGGAATCTATACTTTTCGTCTACTTTTCTTGAGGTCTCCTCTCTGGTCTCAGCATTTAAACATCATGATTAATATGCACCAGCTCGCCTGCACATTGACCATTTTTCCGTCACATTTATGCAATCGTCTATCCTCATCGGAGGTTACCAACAGCTCAGCGAAAAAAAAGATAAAAGAGAAACGAACATAACTCTGCCCCGGAGTATTTGAGACGGTGTGTGTAGGTAACTGTCAGTGTTTATGTTTTTTTTTTAATTTTTAATTTTTTATTTTTTTTTGTCCAGCTTTAAGTTTATCGTTATGGAGATGGCTGACTGCTTCTCGCCTTGTTCCTTCTCTTTCGCAGTTTGTCGCTGTGAGGATATCGCACGGCTCTCGTTTCCTCGAGAGCGTCCGTACGTCTCGCATGCTGCAGCACCTGACGGAGACGATGGACTGCCTGGGTACCGTCCGTGCCTTCGGCGTGGTGGATCGTTTCTGCGCCCACTTCTGCCGCTTGACCGACTGGAACCTGCGCGCGTACTGGACGTTCAGCTGCTGCTACCGTTTCGTCAGGCTCGCCTCGTCCGCCGTCGTCCTGGTCGTGGTGCTGGTCACGGCGGTCTTCATGGTCTTCTTTGCACCCTCCGATGTGCATGGAGACACCGACGCCGGGTCAATGGGACTGGCGCTTAGCGCTGTGCTTACGGTAACTATGAGCACAACGAGCATCGTTTGCATGTTTTTAATGTGTTAGCATTAGAGCACCCGTTCTGACAAAGTCCCGGCGGTGTCTTTCGTCCGTCAGCGCAGAGGAGAGAGGGAGAAGGAGGGGTGAGGGTGACGCGTGAGACACTCTCATTGGTCCGAAGCGCCGACGTCAGCACGCGTCAACCTCTCCCTCTCTCCCCGGCGCTAACAAACGGACAGACACCGCCGGGCTTTCGCCAGAACGAGCCCTCTCGTTTTCGTCAAAGTCACGCGCACAGCTGACGCGGAGCCAGAGAGGAGAAGGCGCCGCGCAACACCTCCTAGATAACAAAGCCTTAGTGCTGAATGAGATGGCATCATCAGGGAAGGCCAACACTGGACACAGATTCGAAACGAGTGCTGCGTCAGCGCTAGGGCTCGAGTCAAGTTTGAGTCGAACGTCGAAGCAGTCCTCATTTTCAATCTTTGCCAGCGTAGGCCTTCTCTGATGACGCCATCTCATTCAGCACTACAGATTTTGTTATCTAGATGTTGCGCCGCGGCACGATGGGATGCGGGCGCGCTCAGTTGCCCCTCTGCCGTCACCTTTTTTTGTCGCTCTGTTTCTTTAGTAGCGGCGCGTGGGCTGTGATGTGTGGTGTGTGTCTAGTTAAAACGATGGATGCGATTTCCTCCACGAGTGATATGAATGCGGTTACTTCCACGAATGGTATAAATGTAGTTCTTTTCATGAGTGATAGGGGTGACCGTATCCAAGGGCCTCGGCGTACTCGAGCGGAGTACAGAAGAGAGGGAAAAAATCTGCAGGAAGATCCATTGGTGAATCCTTAGGGAATCCGTTTGCACGACCCTTGGGAAACACCACACACGTCCCCTTTTGAGAAACACTAACACTGACATCGTAACGAAGCCGAAAACAGGCAGCAAAAATAGAGGAAGCAAAAGTGAAAACCAAAAGAAAAAAAGTGAAGGTGTCAGCGTTCGCGTTTCCCAAAGGGGTACATGTGCAGTGGCGTAACTAGATATGACGGCGCCCATGGCAAATGAAATTTCGCGCCCCCCAAAATGGCAGCGCATAGCACAGCTGCCATTTTTTTTCCATCGGGCACATGTTGGGTGGACTCGGCTCGGCGCCCCCTCCCAAGTGGCGCCCGGGGCACTTGTACCCCCCTGCCCCCCCCCCGCCCCCCCCCCCCCCCCCCCTACACACCCACACCCTAGTTACGCCGCTGGACATGTGTGGCGTTTCCAAGGGTATGCGTGAGCATACGCATTATCTAAGAGTGCACCAATGGATTTTGTACCTCTTTGGAGCGCAGGTTTTAGGCGCCCGTTTCCGTGTTTCTCGGCGTCGGCGTCGGCGTAACCGCGCTAAATTTAGCGGGAAAATTGTCGTCACTTGACCTCAACACCAATTCATTTCCCCGCTAAATTTAGCGGGAAGTTGACGACACGTGACCCCAACAGCAATTCGATTCCCCGCTAAATATAGCGGGGAATGGGATTGCTGTTGAAGGTCACGTGACGACAATTTTTCTGCTAAATCTGGCAGAGAAACTGAATTTGTTCCTATAGGTGACGTGACACGAGATCATGTGACATCATTTCCCCCGCTAAATTTAGTGGAGAAATTGAATATGAGTTTGAGGTCACGTGGTGTACATTTTCCAGCTAAATGTTGCTGGAGGTGGAAAAGGAGGAAGAGAAAAAAGAGGACGAGGGGCATACCCTCCCCTCCGTACTCTCCCCTCCTCCTCCTCAAGAGCTGCGCTCTAACTCTGCATTACAGAGATTTGTAGACCTCTTTCCTTTTCTCATTGGAAGTTTTCCGGACGCCTTGTGTGGACATGTTCAGCTACAGGGTGTTTCTGAGTGCGGTTCGGCGGGCGTAAGAAAGACCGTAAACGAAACGCTTCAGAAATGTGCCTTTAGGTCGAGCCTATATCATACTCAATCTCCACGAGTTCGGGTTTTAGTAAAACAAATTAAACCTGAATATACCTGTATTCGTCCATACACAAGGAGAAAAACGCGTAGTAAACCTTCTGGTTTACGCTCATGTCCACAGAGGGTGCCACATGCACTCGGATCTGCTAGATCCGCTAGCGGGTGTTCAACTCAAAGGAACTTGAATGTGCTTATTTTATGTGGTGTCATCCGTGAGTTACGCGGAGCGCAACTTCGTCTGCTTCCTTTGTGGGGGTTGTGGTGACGTCAGAACGCTGAGCTCTCATTGGCTCTGATTGCAATGATAGTGCGTAGACCTCAAAGCATGCTACTTTAAGGTGTACCCATTATGCTTCAATCAGAGCCGACCGGGACTCGGTGTTTAGACATTACCACAACCCCCGCGAGAAAAGCAGATGACCTTGCGCTCCGTTTAGAGTCCACCAGACGGTTTTTACTGTTGTACTCTCCTTATAGAAGAAAAAAAAACAAGTATTTTTTTAGGCTTAAAATATTTTTATTAAAACATACATCTATGAAATGTGTGTGTACGAAAAAACGCACCATCTAAATACATTATTGTGAAACGTTTATTACCTGTATTGGTTTATCTACATGATTTCTTTTTCAGTATAATTAAAGCTCGGTAACACATTGTAGAATTGCTGGTACATTATTTTCTTACTTACAAATTAGAGCAGAATACGTCTTGTGACTCAGAAGCCTGCAATATGCGAAGGCGGGAATTTTTTTTTTTTTTGCGATACACTTCGAAGATGACTGGTCAGAGAATACAGAGACACGCGTTTAATTTTGCCTCTGAAGCAGTGGACCTTAGGAATACTGCAAAATGGAGGCCAGCGTTGAAAACTGTACAAGCACCAACGCAGAAAATATTTCGTCATCTTATTTTTGTATTTTGTTCAGCTTTTATCAATTTTTCGAACAAACCCGATATATTGAACTTTTGCTCTTAAGTCTACGTCAAAGTATATTTAGAATTTTAGAGACAGCAGAAAAATGTACAACTTTATTTCTTTATTTCATACTGCAGACCTTTAGAAGGCCAAGCAGGATGTCGAAAAAAAAAACAACAAAAAACCCAAAAACAAATAACGCTGCATAAACAGTGGTTATGAGCAAATAGCATTCTAAACATACTGCAACACAAGGCAGTTCACAAAACACAAGGCAACGCAAGTCACACGGAAACACAAGTCAACGCCACATGAATATCGGTTACATAAACATTACTCCAAAAATATAATGCTACGCTGAAACACAGACACGTGAAATAGATAATATACATTTTTCGACAGCTAACAAATTTTTCAAGCCCGTATGCATTAACAGTAATACTAATTCATCTAGTACTACAGAATTAAAAAGGCGCTAACACATACATTCATAAAATGAAGTGCTGTAACGATGATGGGAATTCAAGCAAATTATCTTTAGCGCCTCGACACACTTTAACAAATTGCGGTCAGTTTAAGTTCGCGTTTTAATTGGTATGGAGGCCGCAAAAAAAAAAAAAAAAAGCTTTATAAATCGCAATTTGTATAAAGAAAAAAATGAAAAGAACGCGAAGTGTCTGCCTAGCTTTTGTAAGCCAGTGATCTAATTAAATGTACGTTTAGAAAACCAATTAACGAGGCACTCGAATTTGAGCTACTTTCAGAATGTGCAACATTTGTTATCCCACTGGAATAACAAAAAACCCTTACGCGCGCAAAAAAAAAAAAAAAAAAGGTAATCGTCGGGATTATATTGCTTGATGGTGCCGGGCTGCTGTAAACAGTGAAATTATAATTTCACACGCAGCTTGGACGTCACGTAAACGGGGTGGCGCTGCGGTCGTAACTGCGCATGCGCCGAAGGCAGAGACATGACTGCAGCGGTTTCATTTCATTTCAGTTCTTTCCACCGGCCTTTAATTGGCCTTTAAGATGCAAATAAATGAAATTACACTGGCCTTTAAGACCGGCCTTTTGAGGTGGCATACCTAATTGAACACTCGCTGTGTTTTTGTCGAAATTGGTTACATGCAATATCGATTCTAACTCCGTTGTTCCTAGAGTTCACATCTTTACATATCTTGCATTCTGGAATAACGGATTTTGAAATCATCTGGATTAGGCAATTAATTAGGTTGAAGTACAGCAATGTATATTTTTTTTAATTATTATTTCATGTATTGCAGATTCCGATTAGCATGATGGCCCTATCGCTCATGTTGTTCTCGTATCTTCAGTCGGTGGTCTGTTTTGAACGCACTTTGGAGTACACAAACCTCGAACCAGAAGTAAGTGCAACGGATTTTCCCACATCAATTGTTTTTACGTGTATACACATATTTGTATCAGAAACGGCAAAATGCAAATCTAGATTAGCAATACTCTAATAAAAATAAAATTTTTGAAGCGCAAAAAAAAAAAAATACTTCGGTTCAGTGTGTATGCAGTGAAAACTGAAACTCAAGCATACAAAGTTTTAATAAAAAGGGGGGTGGAAAACAATTTTAACATTATAGTTTTGTTACGCTGGAATGTAGATCCTGATATTGACGCGAATATTTTTGTTCACAATATCTTTATACCCTTCAGTACGACGAAAATTTATTGAGAACACATGAATTCATATGGAAAACACGAATAATGATCTTTAGTTAGCGGCACTTCTTAATATTTTTTCAACCAGTGAATTGACCGTACCGCATTTGTATATTCATAGCGTTTGATGAGTTCATTCAATATTACTAACTTTGAAACCTAAAAGAGGTGGCTTAGAAAGGGAATTAAAAGCTTATGTTTTCTTTAGAATTAAATATCGTTGTTTCAAAAAGTATCCATAAAAAAACGTTTCAAACCGGCCCACATTAAAAAAAAAAAGATTTGGAAAATTTTGTTTAGTCGTGGTTATTACGCATGAAAACCATAAATGCGGTAATTAATCGCTATTTTTAGTTGACTTCTGTAATTAACTGAACTAACTGGAAGAGCTTATTAAAAAATTGTCTTGCTTTGTATTTTTATACAGCCTTGATGTTGGTACACCTCAACGGGTGACCCTTTTTTTAGCCGTAGATGAGAAATTGAGCGAGTGCAGTACAGCCGCTAACCTGGGGTTTTTAACGTGCGTCACGCAGTAGTGATTACACGAACGTGTGCTGGTACGAAACTCAAGAGCTTTTTCACCTAACAGTTTCTAATTTATTGGGCTAGACATGTTCAGGGTTCAAACACGTTCGACTATAAAAGAAATATCGCCTTAATGTTTCCCCAACGGAAACCATTCATTTTTAGTGTTCCTTGGAATAAATCTTGGCTAATATACAATACATGTATCAATGTTAATCTCGCATTGAATGAATTTCTTAACCAATGTTCGCTTCTATTGCCTGCAGGTTGATGTTTTCGAGGATGCAAACCCAGAAAAACCCTTCGGGAGGACGTCTCTCAAAGGAGAGTTACCGGCGGTTCGTGAGGTTCAGTGGCGTTCGAAGGGGCGTGTCACGTTTGAAAACTACAGTGCGTCGTTCAGGCCGGGGATACTACCCGATGTCCTGAAGGGAATAACGTTCACCATTGAGCCGCATGAAAAGGTGGTTCTTCCTCCACTCATTTTTGTCCGAATTAACCGCCATTTTGAGATAATAGTATGGCATGGAGTGCCGTTGGTTTCTCAACTATTCTAGAATAAATAATGAAAGAGCACACACGTTCTGCATCCCATTATACATAAAAATAGTTGTTTTAATATCATCATGGGCGTATTGCTTACACACACACACATATATATATACAAGAAGTTTTAGTTTAAAAATGAAGATTTGTTTAAAAAAAAAAAGTCGTGAAAGCTGCGCTCATGCGGTCTGTGCAGGTGAGTTATTGGGCCAGAGGGGCATAGTATTTGGAAGGGGGGGGGGGGGGGGGGGGGCTAATCGTAACGATCAGTAGTCTTATTAAGTAACATTTGTGAATTCACTTTTTATTTAGTGCAAATGTATCTATGGTTCCAATTAGAAACTTGTTGAGAGTCATCGAAAACCACTAAATCAAGAATTTTCAGAAAACTTTCAGCGCGTGGCAAGAGTAGTATTGCGCTGAAAGTGCCACTCTCGCAACAGGTACATGGCTGGAGATATGATAAAATAGGGAACAATCGCGCCCTCATAGCATGCCCCTAAGGACGTATTATGATTTTCTTTTTTCAGCGCCCAAAAAAGCTTTTCACCTATCATGCTTTATGAATTGTCAGTATCCCTTCATTTGAAAAATGTGAAACACAAATGCAAAAATGTCTCTTAGAGCAATTGTGACCCCCAGTGTACAACAAAGAAAAAAAAAACTAAATTGTGTACATAATTTAAAATGTACTAATGCGAAATAAAGCTTTTTTTTTGTCCTCTGTCCCCCTTGTTCCTCTTCTCCAGGGATTATTTTCATCATTCTTGTCCAGCTCGCTTGCACCTTTGCAATTAATTGCATTCTAATTATAAGCTTTTTTTATTGTCAAAATAATTAAAGTGTGTCAATAAAAAAAATGAAAAATAATTTTATGTTCGTAGAGAAATTCGACTAAAGCTTGGCGTGTTGTCCCAAGCAGCACATAAACGTGAAGAAAACGTCGAAAGAACGTCGAAGACGTCTGTAACGTGACGTCGTAAAACGTCGAAGGTCCGGACGTTACCTTCCTTCGACGTCGATGAAACCTTTAAATGTCCGCGAGTAAAGGTGCACAGAAGGTCGAGGGGACGTTCCAAATGACGTTTGTTGCACGTCACATGCACGTCTCAGTGCGCCGTTGCGTCCTCCCCTCGACGTTTATGATACGTGTGTTTACGACATCCGGAGTACCAACGACGTTCACAGGACGTCGAGAAACCTTTCCAAATTACGTTCCCTAGCCGTCGTGGGAAAACGTTGTGTGCCACCCCCCCCCCCCCCCCCCCCCCCCCTCCAAAAAAAAGTATTTTTTTAGTATTATTGCGAAGGCAGGTTGCTATCATGCAAGTACGAAGGAAGTAACTAAAACACAGGTTTGGTACGAACTGTTTATTTGAGCATGTTCAGACACGAAATGCAATATGGAGCGGAGCGCCTCCAAAAGACGCCCCTGGATGTGCCAGCCTCAAAGATATAAAAGTACAAACAAATTCACGTAAATAAATGAACAAGAGACGATGTCCCGCGGCGCGGAATGTTCCGCCGCTTACCTCGTTCTGCTTCTGATTAATGCGCTGACGCGCGTGCTTTAGCCGTCCCATTGCGCGTAGCTGGTACTTTCGCTGCGTGCACGGAAATGGTTTCAGAAGGGGGATCCCGTCCGCTGGGCGTTCTTGATTGGGATCGTCGGAGGCGTCTGAAGGGTCTTGATCGGAGACTGGACTTGACGCGCCGTTATGTGCACTGCCACTTGTTTTCTGGGGGGCGTCATTCATATCCTCACAGGCACCTTGATCCGAGCAGTGGTACGATTCAACGTGTGAAGCGTTATGGCCTTGAAAAAGGTCCTCGAGCCGTGACTGAATACGACGGCGTTTTTGGCGATCACCGACTTCTTCATGGGGGCGACTTGAACGACTCATCCAATCGCAGCGCTTATACTGTATGCAGACTCGAAAAAAAATATATCACGGCGACATAGCAGCTTGCCTCGTAGACCCGTAGACGTGACGGCCGGTGCTAGTGACTGGCTTTCGGAAAAAGCTGGACCGGGTCCCAGAGCTGTTCTCTCTGGGCCAATTTGAAGAACAGAACATTCAGTGAAATATTTTGGGAACGACTGCGAAAATACGTGCCCCCGGAACTTAGGCTTGTCAATTGTTCGTCGTCGCTATCTTTCCCCACTTTTCTCCTCGCCCTCTTCTTGCCGAGCTTCCCGAAGCATCGCATGGGGCTCTATGGAGATGCCATCTCCTCTGCTTACCTTTCCCCCTCTCTCTCGCGCCGTGCAGGCTGTTTTTTTTCTTTCTTTTTTTGTTTGTGTGTGTTTTTTTTCTTGTTTTTTTTTCGGCACGTAATTGCGGATTGGGCTTGAACGCTTTTTTGGACAGTCATCTGGGCCATTCAGAGGTTGGCATCATGAATGTCAATTTCCACAAACCGTTGACAGTATCTACCGGATTTCGTCATTGCCGGGCATTTTATTTTATTTTTAGTCAACTCCAAAAATGCGCAAGTGTGCAGTGAAGTTGTGCTCTGATATAGTGTGTGCTGCCATGCGATTTTCGTTTGGGTACGTCACCAGTGGCAACGAAAGCCAGATCTGTACTGACAGTCACGTGACAAGACTGCGCCCCGATCTACCGTAAGCGCTAAGGCGCTGGAAGTTGGTGTTATGGATAAACTGTGATGTTGATACGAATTTTTTTTTTTTTGTGCGCAGGTGAGCATGGGTTACAAAATACGAAGAGAAATTGACGAACCTTAAAACATTCTCGGGTGGTCGCGAGCAGTATGGATGCTCCTAAGAAAGGATGCAGGCCTGAAATCACCTGGAGAGGGGACAGTGTAGCGGCGCCCCTGAGGCGCGTGCCAGGGCCCAGGACCCATGGAAGACGACAATACGCGCGTGCAGTATACAAGAATAATACAATTCGATCCGTTCTAGACGCCATGGGCTTCGCAAATTAAACCCGTAACAATATTTCAAACAAACCAAAATTATAACAAGCACATCTAAAAGGAATGATATTCCCAACATGCTTTGATACTATTTTTTTTTCTTCCGTGTACATTGAGTTTTGTAAATGCCCTCTTTAGCGTCATCGATGTGCAATTAATAGCTCTTTGAAATACGCCAAATTAATGTATAAATAATTAAACTTCTCAACCTCTCAAAAATTAAGTTTTGTTTGCGGCTCTTGAGCGCTGTCACCTTGACCACACTGATTCTGCGGCTGGAAATTGAGCTGGAAAATCCAAAAATGACGAACAAAACGTGAGTGGTCGACGTTGCCAGCACGTCTTGTATGACGTTTACGACATTTAGGTGTGAACGCGACGTCGCAGAAACGTCACTGACGGGGCAATAATGTAACGTTACCCTGGACTTTATTTTAACCTTGAAGACACGTGAGTGTTCGACGTTGTTAAAACGTCTTGTCTTGACGTCGTGGCGACGATGGCGACGTTAAAGTTGAAACGTGACGTCGCCAGCACGTCACGGACAGGACGATAATGGGACGTCATTTATGAACTTCAGTTCAACGTCAAAGAAACGTGAGCGTTAGACGTTGTGAGAACGTCGAGCATCGACGTCGTGGGAACGTTGACAACGTTTGAGTTGAAATACAACGTCGTCACAACGTCACTCATTGGACTCTAATGAAACGTTATATAAGGACGTCACCTCAACGTCGAAAAAACGTGATCGAAGTCATGCGGGACGTCACGGACGTCTGGGACTTTTTCTCGACGTTTCCACGACGTTTTGTGCTGCCTGGGGTGTTTCTTTACGCTGTACTAATTCAGGTGGGCGTTGTAGGGCGCACCGGTGCCGGCAAGTCCTCACTCGTCCTTGCGCTGCTCCGCGTGCTGAGGGGCTCGGGCGGATCCATACGCATGGACGGCGTGGACATCAACCGCATTCCGCTCAGAGATTTACGCAGAGCCATCACCGTTATTCCACAGGTAAAGAACCTTCTGTTACAAGCTAGAAACCTCGGGTCGATGACGGTTCACTGATTTTCGAAGAACACCAATAGGACAGATAATTATAACGCCGGTGAAACATTCCGAATTTGCGATGAATATTTCAACGCTGACGCCTCGAGTGCCGGTTCTCTGGTGTCTGATTTCGTGCGGTTGTCGGTTAAGCCGAGAAAACAAAAGTTTAAAGGTTTCGCTCTATCTGTATTAATACTGCTTTCCATAGTTTACTCTGAAAATGTATGGAATAGTCTTTCTAACGTTCCAGAAAAAAAGGATATAATCTTGCAAAACCTTTTTTGCAGAATTGTACGCACAATTAAGAAACAGTGAAACTATCCCGACTTGCGTCACTAAACATCATGGCTTTCCATTCTTCATCAAAGGGAGATTTGTATTGTCCGGCTCCATTCCACATATCCCCATGTACTTACAATTCTTACAAATTTTGATGGGTCACAACAAAAACAAACTACTTTAAATATTGACGTTTCCAAATACTAATTCTGGAAGAGAATTCCCTTCCTGATACCACTGCCTCTATACAGGAGTCATCTAACTCAGAGCTGCCTGACCTTATGTAAAGCCCCATGAGTGCTTCAAAGAGGAGCTCCAGCGAAATTTCGAGAGTCATTGATTTAACTTGAAAGCGGTTCAACATACTATTAAAAAAAACATCTTAACTAGTAACCCAGCTCGAAAGTCTCAATAACTTTTTTGTTGCGGAGTTCTTGAAGTTTCAAATTCGGTCTGAGTAGCTGAAAAATTTCTGGCAACACTGAGAACCTGACGTCAGATCATAGATGTCGTAATATAAAGAAGAAATGGGAACATTAAAGCTTTCCCCCTTCACGTCACAAGTATGACATTGTGAAATGAACGCTGGTTAAGCTCACGCCAGGAAAAGAAAAAATATGCACAAAATACTTTCTTTTAGGCTGCCTAATTGACTTGTACGTTATCCAACGTGTGACATTACCCCACCAGAGAACGCAGGAAGATTTAAACGATGGTATCTGCATCACTCTCCTTTTCCGTTTTTTTTTTTTTTCAATGGCAATTTTGAATTTATATAGGTATAATGGCTTGCTGCAAAAAAAGTTCAGGTACTTCAAAAGTGTGTTATTCTGCTTAAATACCCCCTGCCAGATTCGTATGGGGCGTTGACGTCGAGTAATTAAATGGCTCAGGACCCGAGCCTGATTCGAGGCAGCCTGAGGGACAACCTGGATCCGACTGGATCGCACACCGACGACGAAATCTGGGAGGCACTCGGGCGGGTCCATTTGGATCACCTGGTGCGCGGAAACCCGAAGGGGCTCCAGTTGGACACCGGAGAAGCGGGAGCCAATCTCAGGTGACACGTTTCTTCCTTTCGATAACCGCCGTTTGCCATATTGTAATTCGTGAATGGAGTTACACGTCACGCTACGTAAAGTATGAAAAAGAAAAAAAAAATAGGCAACTGTGTGGACACTTGCTGTATAATTTCTCGATGCTGAAACCTAGAAATGTCATTTTTTTAAAGGAAGTAATTGAGATCCAGCAGCATTTTGTCCTTACAAAATTGGCTAAGCAACAGCAGTGCCAAGTAATCAATTTTGCCATGAAAAGAAAGAAAAATTTCCGGAGGCACTTATAGCTGCAACATTGCAGCAATGCCAGTTACATACGTGCAAGCTTGGGGCGCTGTATAAGATGAATGTCTCTTGTCAACATTCACCTCGTAGTATTTCGTAATTTTTAATCAAATAATTGAAAATAATTAGAAATGTTGCTCTTTATTACGCATGAAACCATGGGTTTCTCCGAGAAATAAATCTACATACAAGAGAGGGCGTACATAATACGCCCCCCCCCCCCCTTTTTTTCTGAGGGGGTAAGTAGGGAAATCACTGTATGGCACGAAAGAAAGTTCCCATGTAAGAATAATTTACAGCACAGCACAACCTATGGCATATGTTAAATAATCAATATTTATTATTTTATATATATATTTCATTATTTTATTATCTGATAAGATTATTATATGTGTCCTTTTACTCTTCGTAAGATGGAGCTATCAAATGACGACCTATTTAGAGAAAAAAAATAAAACGCTTCAAATATGCACAAGTCATCCTTCGATTATTCACATTTGTACACGCGTTTTTATCTTTTCGCATTTTTCGTACGACTGATAAGCGCTCGAAACGTTCTGCGAAAAACAGGAAGTGAGGGAGTTATAAATCGTGAACGTTGGATGCCGCGCAGCGTCGGACAACGGCAGTTGGCCTGCCTGGCACGCGCTTTGGTCCGGAGTCCTCGTCTGCTCATTCTGGACGAGGCCACGTCCAAGATGGACGGGGACACGGACCGCCTGATCCAGAGGACCCTTCGGGAGATCTTCGGCACGTGCACCATCCTCACCATCGCGCACCGCATCAGTACCCTGCTCGATTACGACAAGTAAGCACCATATCTCATTACTCTACCTTCAAAAGTTTACGGTCACGTTGTTGTTCAGATGTATTTGCTCTATCGTGGTGTTATGTCGCACAGCCACGTAGCAAGGGGGGGGGGGGGGGGGACCATGGGGCCCGCCCCCCCCCCCCAATCTTCCATTTTGCTAGGACCTCCTCTCCCCCTTCCCCCTCATTAAGCATTTTGTCAAGGGTGCCCCCCACCCCCCGAAACAAAATCCTGGCTACGTGCCTGGTGTCGCAGTTTCTCGGTAGACATAATTCAATTGCGATAATACTGGCCATGCTTCAGAAAGTCGGCCATGTCCTTGCGCGGTTTCAGTGTTGCCAGATGTCACTGCGAATTTCGATATTGTGAGCTAAGAAGTACCACGTGTCTGGGACGCACGAACCATCACGTACGTTGGTGTTCGACAGTGGGGAAGAGGGCTGACCTCTCCATCGTAACTCTAGAGTGGAGATCTAGTCGTCTGGTGATGTAATTTCCCATGTTACCTGGCCAGAAAGCTCTATGCGGCCACCGAGCCCTATTGCTGGCTATTGTGCTCTAGAGCTACAAGGTCCACCTAGAGCTATTTTAATGCGTTCTTAATTCCCTCTTGTGATTCGTCCCATCTTTTGCAGAGATAAAGGGCTAGTTTGCATTTGCTAATTATAATCTTGCGTATATATTAATAGTGGATAGGTGGGTTAGAATAAATCATGTGCACATTTCCAGGATTATGAAAATCCTATTGCAATTTTAATTTGCTATTTGGAGGCACAACTTTTTCCGATTTCATTAAACGTACCCAAGAACGCAGACGGGTTAAATTAAATTTATATTTCAAAATTAAAGTACGTAACTCCGGAGGAATCAAAATAAAACAGTCTTTTTTATATCGAATTATATTTTTTTACCTAGCAGTTCATTTAGTTAACCGATGAGTTCTTACCAGCCCCCTATTTGTTAACTGGTCAGCTCCAGTGTATATGGTTTAGACTTTCTTCGCAGAGATTCTTACCCCTGCAGTAATGCTTGAATAAAATTAGGCATTCTTTAGACAATAGTAATTTTTTTGCTTATATATTCGGCATCCTGCATACTCAAATTAAAGAAAAAAAACTTTCTTATTGTGTTTTTTTTTTGTCTCCGCATGAACAGGCCCTTTTAACTCTTTCTCCGCAGGATCCTGGTTTTGGGGGAAGGTAGGGTCCTGGAATTCGGACCCATCGCAGCACTCCTCAGCCGACCGAGCTCGCACTTCCGGAGGATGGCCTACGAAGCCGGGGTGTTGCCGTCCGCTTACCACCCCGAGGAATCGTACACAACTCACCTTTAGTGTTTCCACCGCTGTCATTGACGACGAAATGTGCGTCATCAGCAGCACTTAGACGAAGATGAGACAGAGCAGGAGAGCTGGTTGGTGTTCGTACGCTAGACACGGATATGCGGAGGCCATTCCAATAGCCGCCTTCTGCACGGTTCTAACTTTGCGCAATGGGCCGCGGAACGTGCTCTGGGCATGGGCAGTACACCCGCCGGCGATATGAAGGTGAACACCTTACCTGGTTTCTTGGCTGTTTTACGGCTTCCTAAAGCTATATTAACTCTCAACGTCTCAAATGGTACGTGGCATGGGGTCTAAACTTTGCGTTCTAGCCCTCTTCTGGAACAGAGCTTGTTCCAAAACTTGCAGGAGCGTCAAAAACAAGAAGAGGGCTCTTCACCTTCATATCGCTCACGGGTGTACCTTCTACGAAATATGGTGCACCTGCTTTCTCGCTAAGCACTGGGCGAGCCTATCGCTGCAATCTAAAGGGAGCTCGGCTAATAACTAAAGTTGTAAATGACTTAAGAAATAACTAAACGGCTTGCGCTGTCACACCGAGCATGGTGAAACATCACGCTCAGTGTAACGTTACGGGTGTTTTTGCTTTTTTAAGGTCCAAGTGCTTTGCGGAAAAGTAGACTCATTAGATATCTTTAAGTGTAGCCCTCTTCTTTGGAATACCAGACACTGCTCATGCATCCACTGTCCAATGACACGGCACATTTCGTCTGTGCAAAAAGCTCTGGAAAGTTGGATTCGAGGCTAAATACAAAGATTATGTAAGGTTAAAAAAATAAAAAGACTAACATAAGCAGGCAAACCAGCAAGGGCCCCACGACCTAAAATTCAACGTTTGCATAATACCCTCGGAGCAGCCACGATATTCACGTTCTTAACTACTATAATGTTTAGCATTTTACTTGTCTCTGAAAAAACTCGAGATCTCCCTGTTTCTGTGTTATTACCGAGGCGTCAGCTGTTCATAAGCGCAATTAATAAACAAATAAACGCGTAAATAATATTTGAGGTATTCGTATTTAAGAATTTATTTCTATTAACCTATAAAGAATGTCCGCGATACAAATATTTGGTTAAGTGCTCGTCAGTACCAGATTCAAAGTGTAAGCGTTCATTAGCAGGGTTAAAATATACGTTGATGACGAGGACGCGTTAACTGAGCGTACACGTTCAATTCGTTAATACATTTTAAGTTATCTGTAGTGAAATTAAACTTTTACAAAAGACTGGCGCTCACCGTTTTTGTTTGTGAAATGTGTAGAGCTAACATTGGATATTTAAATTTTTGGCGTTGAGTCACATCGCTTCACGACGCGCGCCGTAAGCACATTTTGAATAACCATCTTCAGCAATTATGAGAAAAAGGCAGCTACAAAGGGTTATGTTGAAGTAAATTGCATACAAAGAAACGTGTTGGAACCAATACATCATGAAACGTCTGGGGTTTCATGTAGATTTTTGCTTCGTTTTTCCTAAATTGCGGCAACGCATATATTTTCAAGGTAGTCACTAACGCACGGTGCTCAGAAGGTTATTACGGCTCATTATTCTAATAAACCTCGCTTACGTCTTTTGTATGTATGGTGCCTCATCGGCTTTCATCTTGGTCCTGTTTCTGGGCAATTTAAATTCACATTGTTATTTTATCGGTGTTCAACAGTGCACCTAAAGCATTGACTAAAATAAAGACTTTGCCTCTAAATGAAGTTGGTATACATACAATGTTTAAAAAATAGGGATATTAATCTAAAACATGATGGTGTGGACTTTATTACGAATATACAATAGTCGAGATTTGTTTAAATTGTTTTACAATTGTCGTTTTCATAAAAAAGGAATGCCTGACATTTTTGCGAAAAAAAAAAAAGTTATTTCTTCAACATACACTTTTACGTTTCAGAGCCTCAAAGCTTAAGCCCCGAGAAACGTCACCACCCCATAAAATTCCGTAATTCATTAAACTTCCCCGAAAATAATCATGCAGCTTATATCGCCATTCAGAGCTTAAAGGGGTGATGCAACAATTTTTCCGCTTTCAATAAATACAGCTTAGAATTATTCCTTGACATTTATAACCCCTTAAAACCCAGGTTGCGTTTTCTCTCTCTACGGATCAGCAGTCGCAGGAAAAGAACAGAAAAACGAACAACGTCCTTTACCCCCTCAACTGGAAGCCAAAAAAAGCGGGCACGTGATCTGGTGCCGATTATCATGCATGCCGCCAGTCTTGGGTAGTACCGCGATGCTGTAGCTTATTACTTTCTGTTTTATACCTTTTAACTGTAACTCGATACATTTTTTTTAAGTAACTGTAACGATATGTTAAATACTTCGTGAAAATGTAACGAAAAAGTATCTGCAAAGATAAAGATAACTTTCGGGGGAAAAAAATGACCCTATTTTGTGAACACTACAGCGGGTTCGACCATGTGCGGGGAATATGCCCCACATTACACGCAAAAAAATAAAATAAGGATTCAAATTTTTTTTTTCTTTCGTCGTAGCAAAGTGTTGGCGCGAAGTGCAGACGTCTATCTACTTTTTTTTTTTTTCATCGCGCGGAAAAGCTCATTTAGCATTTGCTTAATTTCAACCTTTTTGTCGGTGGTTCTCTCGTTCCGTCTTCACCCTTTCCGACCTCATCAAACACTCTAAAAAAGTCTGTGCGTCTAATTTTACGCACAACACTCGGAGAACCGATCAGCGCAACTTACGGAGGCAGCTCAGCGAATGACGATCCGGAAACTAATGTTTAGACCAAAAAACGCAGACTGGGTTGTGACATTAAGCAACGCAAGCGTGACGTTTTGCATGGCTTAATCTCACAACTCAGACTGCGTTTTTTGGTCTAAACATATGTTTCCGCATCGTCATTCGCTGGGCTGCCTCCGTAAGTTGCGCTGATCCGAGTGTTGTGCGTGAAAACAGACGCACAGACCTTTTTGGAGTGAGCACTCCCGCCTCTTCAGCCAAGGGACAAAGTCACCTCGCGGAAACACGTGACAACTAGACATTTAGCGTTGAACTGTTTAGGGCCAAACGAAAGCCTCTGTAGTCGGTGACGCAGAAGTCGCGGCGATAGCTTTCTTTGCGAAAGCTAGCCGCCTCCAGTAGATATTGTTTGACCGAGGCCACAGACGATGTTTCTTCTGGTTGACTTGCCTTTTCCCAGATGCCGTGAGACCGTGATCCACGGTCGAGATTTTTATTCTGCGTTACATAAAAGAAATTTAAAAAAAAGCGGAACGCATTCCGAGACGACTTTGTGTTGTTTTCGTTCCCTCCTTTGTTTACCTTGTTGGGTACTAACGGTCTTTTCCAATTTATTCAGTTGGCTCAGCCTTCTCCTCCCCTCCCTATTATTGCAATGGACCCGTGTATTGATCGGCATCACCCTCTCCTCTCTGCTGAGGAAGGAGAATAAGAGACCTCTTAAGAGAAAGAGGAAAATAATAAATATAAAATCGTAGTCATTGTGTGTTTTCATCAGTCTTCATAGTTAATTAAAAAAACACACGAACGTATCTTGAAAATAACTGAATTACTATGACGAAGTAACTGCAACTGTGACGCGTTACTTTAATTTTTAAGTTACTGTAACTTTAATACATTTTTGACAAACTATCTGTAACTAATGACTTTCTAAAAGTAGCTTACCCAAAACTGTCTGCCACCTACATTTTTAACCATGGTGGAAGAAACATATTTAGGTGGTGACCCTGGCTGCTCTTCCCGCGGGGAGCAAGCGACCAGATCGTGTTTGGTGATAGCCTCGAACCAGGAGTCAATAGTTCCGCGCTGCCGCGGAGGGCGCTGAGGTATGAGGTCCTTCCTCGGCGGCCATGGTGTCGGCGACGTAGCGTGCTCGCCTTTTTGGCAATGTGGTGGCGGGGTGTTGGTGTGCGGCCAGTGGCTGGCCTAGTATTTTGCTTTGGCGCTCTGTCGATCAACGGTTCCATCATCGCGCACAAAGGTGAGCCTTATTTCGAAGGAGAAGGAAGAGAACACAGACTTACGGACTCTGGCAACTATGTGGCGGCGGTGAGGTACAAAAAGAAGCGGTGAGCGAGGGAATAAGAGAAACAACCGATGCGGTCGGTTTGGGAAAGACCCCATACTTGCGCGCCATCTATCCCCGTGTGAGGGAAGCGCGCTGAGTTCCACCCACTGGTAAGTTTCGGCTGTTCCCGACATCCCAGTGATTAGGCACGAGCCACAACCCATATGCATGTCGAGGCGTTGATTGTCACGAGCCAAAATCGAATGCCTACGCAGTCTTCTTGTCCTACTGTGTGAGCTGTATTTAAATATCGTCACGGGGGGGGGGGGGGGGGGGGGGAATCGCAAAGCTCGATGACGAACTCCTGGAAACCGCATTGCTGGCATCGTCCTCACAGCTCCGTTATCACGTTTTCTGAAGAAGAGACTGGGAGAGAAGTTCCGCTTTTATCCTTGGAATTCCAACGCGACGAAGACGCGTCTTGGCCAGTGGCGTTGCGTTCGAGTATTCTTGGGTCCCACTATAATGCCAGTAAGCTAGTATAAAGTGAGAAATGTTCCTACCCAAATCGGTGCACGGTCCCTTTAATTTCTCGAAGACAATATGTGGACAGACGAACTACACAACCTTAATGGTGGTCATCTGTTAGCCGTACCAACCTTTCTACAAGCTTACAGACATATAAATATAGCTCCTTTTTTTTCATGCAAGGTGACCCAGAACACTGAACGTTCAAATAGATCCTAAGGAATAATACATATTAGACGGAACCATCGGAGACGCGGAAACCACCGTCTTGGAGAAATATCAGAACATAAATATTAATGCCACGGGATGTAAATTCCTCACGTGCGTGACAAGTGCGCCGATCAACCTGCAGATGGCGGTACACTGCACTATAGAGCACTGCTATAGACCTTTCTAATGTTTACAAAATCACAGTCCAGCGTGCGATCTTCACAGTCCACCACGTGCGTGTTCGTCGCTTCGAAAAGCGAGGAATGCACGCGCAATACGCACGAACACTCAAGATGGCACCGGCCACACGCTCTTTCTTGGAAAGGTCTATCCACCTTTCCAATATTTTCAAAATCACAGTCCAGCGTGCGATCTTCACAGCCCAGCACGTGCGTGTTCGTCGCTTCGGAACGTGAGCAAAGCACGCGCCATACACACGAACACTCAAAATGGCACCGGCCACACGCTTCTTTTTGGAAAGGTCTATAGAGTAAAGCCTCTCGTTGTGTTTGCGTTTGTCTTGGAAGTAGCGTCAAATGCGCGAGTGCACGAGGCCCGTGTCTCGAGCGGCCCTTGGAAGCAAATGACGGCACAGCTACAGTCAACGTTATAAGATTAGCTCAGTTACGGAACTGCTCATAGACGCCGCATGCACGAAGAGTGTCCCCCCCCCCCCCCTTCCCCTCACTTACCACGACTCGCTTGGCGCCTCTCGACGTGCGCCGGGCGGCTGCTTTGGTAACTGCGCTGTATTCTATGGGATACGAACGTTTCGATGCACTGCGTCTACATGGCGCTTCAGCTCTGCTCTAATTAGAGTAACTGTATAGGCTCTGCTCCGCAAGCGGAGCATATACAGTTCCTCTAGCTCCACGCAGCTCGTTGGCAGCTCTATGGAACGCACAGTTATGAAACGAAAATGTAGATGGCGCTTCGAACGACGGCAGACGGATTGAAGTGAGTGAGGAGGGGTACCCCTTTCCGCAGGAGTACACTACTGAGGTAATCTAGTAACGTTGGCTACAGTGTAGCACAACACTGATATGAGCGGCCCTTGGATGCGAATGGCGGCGGAGCGCCCGCTCGTGGCATATGTCTCGTGCTTTTCCACAACAATGGTTAGCGGTACTTGTTAAAAACGCCTTTATCAAGGGGATTTATTATAGAGAGCCAGTTGAGTCCGTTTCGTCACTTTGCAGCACCCCTGCCTCCTCCGCCATCCGATGAAACACAGAGCCCGTGTTGGAGAGTAGCTCGGCCACCGAACCGAACTCAGAAACACGACCGTCGTCCATCACGAGGATTCTGAAAGGAAGAAGGCGTGTACGGTATTACTATACTTCGTTTCAGCATAACTTGTAAAAGAGTGAAGGCTATACGGCGCAAGTTCGTCTGCTTCTTTCTCTTATTGACTGATCTTGCTCTTATTGGCCGAGCTCTTATTGGCTGATTGAAAGCAAAATAGTGGGTAGACCTCAAGACAGCTTACTTTGAGGTCTACCCACTATCCTTTCAATCAAGGCCAATCAGGACTCGGCGTCCTTCTGACGTCACTGAAACTCCTGTGAAAGAAGCAGACGACTTGCTCTCCGCTTTGTCTGATCGAGTCAATCAGAGCGACGGAGCGGAGCGCAGGACAACTATACTGGCAACGTTGTGTGCATTCGAATGCACACAGTGTTGCCAGTAGAGCTCTTGAGTTTGCAAAAAACGCAATAATAAATTAATTTCCACCTGAAATAAAACATAGCGCCCTTTTGGCGACCGGTGGACTCTGGGGAAATCCGCCTGGTCCGCGGTTTGATTCCGGGACCAAGAGAAGGGGAACGCTCTACCAATTTAAGAAAACCAGGAGCTAGCCTTCAGTATAGAGCAGAGTGACGTTAACAATTGCTACCAGTCTTGATCGTAACCATCACAAGAGCAAGATCAGGCGTTAATAGGGAGTTTTCGTAGACCGCGTTTCTCCCTCCGCTAAGCCCTCCGCGACGAAGAAGCTGCTACTGCGCCTGCGCGCCGGTGGCTTCGACTGTAGAGTTCGGGGTATCGTAGCGGGTTGCGCAGAGAGTTTCGGTACGGCGAAAATGATCTACGAAAACTCCCTAATAATTTAATGTAATGATATTAGGGGAAGTCTCAAAGGTGGAGAAGATTCACGCAAGAATAAATTCAGTCCAAGATTCCAAGATTTTAAGGAGAGGTGCCAAGATCAAATCTAGGACCGGGCGGATTTTTTCAGCGGCCACCAGTTGCCTAAATAGCGTGTGTTATGCTCAACTTCAGGTGGAAGTGAATTACTTTTGTATACCTTTCTACCTTGAGGACTTCCCCTTACTAGTTCAGTTGTGTCTCTTGGTGGGTTGAACTCATTCCGAGGCGAACTTGGCGACCACCAATATTTCGGAGCAGCTTCCCTATAATAGCACATATGAATGTATCCTCAAGGGTACTTCACCTGTCGTAGTCGAGCACGGTGTGTATTCGGTGTGCTATCGTGATGAGAGTGCAGTGGGCGAATCCTTCCCTAAGCGTTGCCTGGATAAGTCTGTCCGTGTCGCCATCCATCTGCGACGTGGCCTCGTCCAGAAGGAGCAGCCGGGGTTGTCGAAGAATGGCCCGAGCAAGGCACACAAGCTGGCGCTGACCCGTGCTGCACGCAGCGTGGCAAGACATTGCATTAAATGAATAGATGCACGTGGCTGAACCCTTCGAATCGGGCGGAGGCTCGAGCCATCTAGCCAGCGTTTTTAATATCAACCCTGGTGGAGGAGACGCCGTCCAGCGGAAAAGACGTGAAGGAAAGAAGCGGGGAGCATATTTTGATGTCTCGTGGTAAAACTGGCGCTGCCTCGTTGCCGAAATGGGAAACGGACGAAAGGGAATAAATGCACGCCGTTGAAGTTGTCAGCCGTCTGCTGCGACATAGGATCTGCGGCAGAAGCTGCGCTTCCAGGGCGAGCTTTATACCTTCGATAAAACTTCGGCGCATGCGATTCAAAAGCACGATGGAAGGCAATGGTTGCGTGCAGGAGGCGGAGCTATTCAGGCAGGTCTTAGGTTGCCACAGACTAGTTAAACATAGTGATTTTATCCTAGACTAGGGTTTTACTCTACGAGACGACTCAAACACACACAGGTTTCAGTAATAAATCATAGTTGCGATTAAAACGACGGCGAAAAGTATGAGCGCCAGAAGGTGTCATTAAGGGACACCATATATCTGTTAATTTAGCTTGTCATGTTTAGGACTCGAAATAGTTATGTCGTGAGGACGTCAAATTCCATTGAGTTACGCGGAGCGTAAGTTCGTCTGCTTCTTGCACAGGGGTTGCGATGATGTCTTAACACCGAACTCTTATTGGCTAATTGAAAAAGCAAAATAGTGGGTAGACCTCAAGGCATCTAGCATTGAGGTCTACCCAGAATCCCTCCAATCAAAGCCAATCAGAACACAGCGACGTTCTGACGTCATCGCAACCCCTACGCGAGAAACAGACGACTTGCTCTCCGCACAGTCAGTGTCAACTCAAGAAAGGCAGGACGTGGCAAGTCTGGGGGATCTTATTATTGTTCCGCAGTCCAAACCAACGCCATAACGAGGAATAACGAAGCAAGAAGCGTGGCCTTAACAAGATGGCCCGGCGTTTCTTAAGTTGTCAGTGACAAAAGCTTTCACCTACCTCAAGTTGGAGCCTCCTTCTCCAGTTTCCAGGAGCAGCCGCTTGGGGTCCTGGGACACGAGGTCCTTCAGGTGCGCCTGATCGAGCGCTTCCCAGATTTCCTCGTCGGAATGCGAATTGGTGGGGTCCAAATTCTCGCGTAAGCTGCCCCGCACCAGGTTTGGATCCTGAGCAGGATAATGTAAAGTAAATGCTGAATTTACGGGAGGAACTTCATTAGAATGGACATCTCTCTTTTTTCCATCGTGCTGGTCGCGCTCTTTTTCACTACGGTCCCTTCATATTTGGGCTGAGTCCAACATTGTTGCACGTGGCTATGATAATCCGTGGTAACTAAAACGACGTCATTGACGACTTAGCCCCAATCCGTCTTCAATATAGTGTGGCTGCCCACAATCGTTGGTGAAAAAACACAATATTAACGCAATGAATAAGTACAGTGGAATCTTGTCCGCTTAATTTGCCTAAAGTTAATATTTTTATTTTGCTTCAAACACACGCAAACATTTATAGACGCAGCTGTCGGCCACTTCACGTTTGAACCATTCATTTAGTTATGGCATAGCCTCCTTTGTACTGATCAAGCCCGGCAGATTGTCACGTGACGCGATCGCCGAAAATGAAAAGGTAATGCGGCAGACAAGAGTCATGTAACGTGCACCCCGCTGCGGCGAGACGCCGAAACACACTTGTCCCGAGCGATGGAATGTCCGCTCGTGCTCCTCGCGTTCCTCGGGCTGCCGCTTCTTTTCTCGTCGGGTTTGAAAACCATGTTTCGGGTTCTCGCCGCTGGAAAAGGTCTGCGCTGAGTACCAGACTCCACGAGAAATGCTCTGTGCTACCAGATCCTCGCGATCCAAATCTGCGACCAGGCACTCCATGGCTCCGTCATCGAACTGCTATACTCCGTTTCGCCTTATGTTGTACTGCAGACAAGGCTAGAAGCGCAAGCTCATAGCGTTGGGAGCTACTATTAACGCACGAGAGCTTGTGCCGCCGAGATGTGCCCTAGAACAAGGAGCTCGCGCTTTTAGCCTTTCCTGCGGTACATGACGAGGTGAAACAGAGTATAGGCTTTGTGAGTATATAAAGGAGGCTAAGATTATTGGTATGGCAGAAGGCAAGCTCCAACCAATGATCGAAATATAGTAGACACGTGAAGCCATATATAGGTTTTTTTTTTTTTTTTCTCTTCTTCATTATGTAGACCAGTGGTTCTCAAATAGGGTTCCGCGCACCCTTTGGGGTTGCGAAGTCATTCTAGGGGTCTGCGAAGCCCAGCCTCATCAGTCGAGCCCGAAAATAAAAGTTGCCTTTCCCTCAATTGAGAAGAAACGTTCAAAGTTTCGGGTTAGTTTTCCGGTGTATATGTCAGTAGGTGAAGTCCACATTACACTAGCCCTTAGTTATATTCATTTATTAAATCACTATCATAATTAATCTAAACTTTCCCTTCCCTTCACCACAAACGGCGTCTTCCATCATCTCCGCCGATACATAATGGTGCGCGAAACATCGATAGTTGAGAACCGCTGATGAAGGCTGTAAAAAGGGCAAGAAAAAAACAAAAGAAAAAACCTTGACAGCTTTTTGCCCCTTCCTCCCCCTCCCCCACTCCCCCCCCCCCCCCCCCCCCCCCATATCCGGAGATAACTAGTCGTGACGGTACAAAACAACGCCCCCCGTTTGGGACGGCATTCGGACACGACACTTATTCATTAGGGAGTTTTCGTAGACCGCGTTTTCCCCTCCGCTAAGCCCTCCGCAACGAAGAAGCCGCTACTGCGCTTGCGCGCCGATGGCCTTGACTGTAGAGTCCCGGGTATCGTAGCGGGTTGCGGAAAGCCGTTGTGGGACGGTGAAAACCATCTGCGAAAACTCCCTATTGGCCGGAGAGCAGGAACTCGATATCATCGACCAATCAGTATCTGTGCGCGCTGCGCCACTCCGCGTTTGCTACGCTCGACGTCAAATATAACAGAGCCTTTGGTATGACGTGAGCGGTCCGTGGTCCTACCTGAGGGATCAGGGTGATGCCCCTGCGCAGCTTCCTGAGGGGAACCTGCGCGATGTCCAGGCCGTCTATGCGGATGCTGCCGTGGGAGCTCCTCAAGATCCGGAGGAGGGCCAGTGCCAGGGAAGACTTTCCGGCGCCGGTTCTTCCCACCACGCCAACCTGGCGGGAACGAACGCGGAACAATCACATGAAGAGGAACGCGATTCCTTGTTTGAAGCCTGTGCAGTCTGAGAAAATCTTCGAGATAGTCGAAGCCAATTGGAAAGAGTGTGGGCGGTCAGCGTTCCCGTAAGACACATGGCGAGACTGAGAGACAGCTCTGAAGAAGTGAAATCTCTTAGCTAAAACATCGACGTGCAACGTCGGTAGGCTTCTATCTGCCGAGAAACTGAGGGAGAAGTGCAGAAAAGCGCACGAAGACGTAAGAACGCCAAGCTCTGGTTCGAATGATTAGAGAATAGACCCAAAGCTATGGTCTACATTTGTCTCCATTGCACTGGCCGAATGCGTTGGAGCGCGAGATCCAAACGCCGGATGTCGGCGTTCCGTGTTCTAACGTTATAATCATTATCAGCATCATAATCGACGTTATAATCATTCGAACCAGAGCTAGGCGGTCTGATGTCCCCGAGCGTTTCCTCCTCTCCCTTAGTCTCCCGGCACATAGTCACTTCAAGAAACTTCGGGCGTGGCTTATCAACACGCTCACGATTTTTGGTTTAGGGATTTGCCTTTAAGCGTTCTTGTCGGCTGATGCTGTAATCCCATTGGCTGCGAGGCGCTAACAAGCTTTTTGGAGTCACGCTTTGCGTTTCTTTGAGTGTCAGCGACTATGAGTTTCCTTTCAAGAAGGCTCAAATTGAGCAAGACACTCAGATAGTTACTGAGTGCGGGACTGTAATAGGATACGACGGACTGGACGTTTGCAAGGCGTCGAAAGGCTCGAAAACCGAACCTAATGTTTCAAATCCAATTGTTCCGTCCCGTGGCGCTGCCGAGCGTCTCACGCGTCATCTTGTCTTTCAAACTATATTCGTGCCTATAAATAACCGGTGACGCTGATAGCCCACACGTTACACGGTCGCATAGAAACGAATTGGAAACGAGCCAGGATATGGTCATGACATGTGTTAGCTGCCACGTCGCGAACTTTTTTTCGCCTTGATCCATCTCGTACAAACTTGTGCGGAGTTCATCACGAGTAGTAGAAAAACTTCTAATCGATAAATTTTGGAGTGCCTTTGTAATGATTTGAATACGTCGATTAGGAAGCAATGACGAGAGTAGAATGATTACTGTTAGAGGTGCATAAATTACTTTAATCCGTTACTTATTTTTTCCTCCCTTTCCTAAAAACGATTTTTGTACCAGTTTTCTAGCAGGGATCCTTCGAACCAAGGGCCCTATGCTACAGGGCGGGACCTAGCGGGGCCAAAGGACAACGCCTTCTGCTGCTGTTGGTCAGCGTCTCGCCGCTGACCAATTGCACAAGCAGACGGCTTTGTTCCTGTCCCAATTGGTGCCGCTTGGTCCCGCCGTGTAGCATAGGGCTCAGTGTCTCTGGCGGGAGGATGGTTGTCCAAAATCGGAGGATTTAGAAGATCAGTAGTTAATAGTTCGGTAAGCCTTATTGACTAATGAACAGTGCGACAGATTTTTTTAGCCGGTTTGAAAGCTGCAGTTTTCAAACCGGCTGAAAAAATCTGTCCCTTTGAAAATACAAAATAATCTAAGAAGTAACGATTACTTTTCAAGCAACGGCCAATTACTTTTCTTCTCAGGTAATAAAGTAATTAAATTGAGCACTTTCGCAATTGTAATTTTAATTACTTTTTCCTAGTAACGTGTACAAGACTGGCGTCAATAATATTGTACATGCTGTATGTATTCCATCGTCAAGCTTAAGTCACCTCGGTGAGCTAGAATGAAATAAATATTACCATATTCCCAATTTAAGAAAAAAAAAAAGAAAAGATGAATACCTTTAAACTTTACCCGCGAAAGCACATTTCCCCCGCAGAGCAGAAAGGTCGTTTCCTTTGCTCTAACAAAGAACTTACACAACAACGTGCCTTGGGACGTACGTAATAGTAAAAATATATCGATTGCCGTAAGAACAAGGTATGTTTATTACCTGGCAAGGTTGACAGGAACTCACCTTTTGCATCGGTTCAACGGTAAAGCTGACGCACCTCAGCACGTCTGGCAGGATTTGAGGCCTGTAGGAGGCAGCGAAGGAGTCGAACTCCACCTTGCCCTGACTGGGCCAGTCTTGTCCGTCGGGCTTGACAACATCGTTGCTCGGCTCGTTCTTGTGTTCTGCCTCGTCCACCTAATACGAGGAAAACATCATGGCCAAAAACTCCCTTCTACGTTCGCTTTCACACAAAAAAAAAAAAAAAAAGTAAATTGTTTATGTTTTCAATATTTCTCTTTGTGGTTAAGATGCATGGATGTGCATTTCAAATACGTTAGTTGTAGTCTTATATAAAGGTACATGCATTCAACTGAATAAAGAATCGAGTTTTTCTTCCTTCTAGTAAATCTTATAGAACTGGCAGCCTGATGACTATACACAAAGCACTTATTTTTCGAGGTTCCAATGATTTGGTGATACTTCACTTCGCGCAGTGTTACCAGACTGATGGGGAATTCCGCCAACTTCTGTCGGAATCCTCATTCATAAAAACCTAGCAACACTCAATCTAACAGCACACTTGCCATTAGACTATGTCGAACCATGCAGAATTTCACACGAGCTTGATAACACTGAGTCTGTAATGTCTCGGGTGCGGGGATATATTGTTGCTGATTGGTGGGGACAGCGATCTTCATGACAATTGCTGGATCGCGCTTCCCCGCTCCGCGAGTGCGGCTAGCGGACGGCTATCTTGCATGCTGCGAAATCATGTTTTTGCTAGGGTTGCAGAGGCTGGAGCAAGCGTGCTGAAGACAGCCCGTTTTCTATTCTTTAGTCGTAATTCACCGAAGAAGAGTTTTAAGACCCTATGTAAGGGTTGAGACTTGCCATTGAGAACACGTGGAAAAGTTTTACGAAAGCGCAGTGCCGCAGGAAAAAGGCACAATTCGTCGAAAGCAAGTTTCGACGGTCTCGCGGCGTGATCAAAGCTTCCTCGACACGCCGAAGTGCTGCTTGTCTGTGCCTTCGCACGCTTGGATACCGATCAAGAATCGACTTCGTGTGGTTGTTTTTTGCGTGTGCAATGTGCGTGAAGCCGTATGTGCCTCTGGAGCAGTGTTTTGCTTTACTCTGACGTCTGTATTCATAACTTGCAGCACTCAAGGCATGTTGAGCTGCCCTTCATATGTAGTTCTCAGACAACCCCCTTCCCGACGGCGCTCACTACTGGGAAAAAAGTTCATCAGACTCTTATATGAAGAAGGGTTAAAGAGAGGACGTGGGAGTGAAGGTAGCAAATCAAATTTAGAGGGACGAAGTGAACGCGCAATGTGAACTACCCCCATTCTTTAGCTAAGCATTAATCGCCCTATAGCTCCTACCTCAGCAGGAAGTTCCATGTATTCGATGCATCTCTCGAATGCCACGACCATCTGAAGAGCCGAGAACGAGCTCACGCAGATGTACATCAGGGACATGGGTATCTGGACGAGAGAAAGAAACAAAACAAAACAGTTTCCAGGTCTCGTTAGATAGGACTAGAGCAAATTTAAGCTACGCCTAAAGTAAGAAGCGAAATTGGGCATGCGACTTGGTTAGCACACATCAGAACCTAATCTAATCTCTCCGACGAGGAGTGAAGTACTAGGATTAGACGTGATTTCATGACGTCATGGAGTGTTCGGCCTAGTACAATGCCGCTGCGTTTGCGGCTGGATCTTCCAGATCAGGGATCGGCAACTATTTTGCAGCTTCGGGCCGAGTGGTCACGAAGCCGACACAGAGGGGCCGGACAGCAAGTCGCAAAGTGTGTGTGTGGGGGCGGGGACAGGCGAAAAGAAGGCAAACATTAAGTGAAGCAGTCGCCTGGCCGAGCATGAGGATTACGGACAAAACCAATTGGGAGTGCTCCTTGTTCTAGCTGTCTTGCTGTTAACTCCGTTTGGGGTTAAAACGGGTGTGTGTGAGGAAGCAATAGGACGTGGGGGAAGGGCATTTTTAATGCCCCCCCCCCCCCCTTCCCCACCCTGCTACCTGGATGTGTATATATACATCCAGACATTTTAGCGGAGTCGTCAAAGTGATAGAGGGAAACGGCACGTGCCCGATCCCGGTAGCAGACGACAAACTGGCCGTTTCCTACGGACATTTCAATCGATTTGGGGGGGTCGAAGGGAGAAAGGGCACACGGCCGTTTTCACCATCAGCTACGGTGGCACGCCCAAACATGGATGCTCGTTTTCCTCTCTCCTCTCAGCCTAGCTGAATGGGTAGAACGGTAGCTGAATATTAGGGAGTTTTAGCGGGTCATTTCCACACGAACTGTTCGTCTTCAAACGCATCGCCAACGTTACTGCGCATTTCCGCGCGAGTCGTTGTGGGCTTCGGGAGGCCTTTTTCGCTCGATTCTCCCACTCCGGCCGCTGGAGTCGTCACCTCAAAGCAGCCAGCACCGTTCACGACTCGGGTAATAAAAGATGGCGGTCGGTTTGGCGCCCAAGGACAGCGGACGGCGATGTGCCGTCCTGTTACTCTGGTTCATTTCATAGGTTGAACCAAATCATTTCGAGGACTGCTCACAGTGGTAAACGATCGTGAATACTGTAAACTACGCATGCTAGTAAAGTTCTGCGATCTGCGGACTGACGAGTTGCCGTGGCGACCGCCAGCAGATGAAATAATTTGGCTCGACGGCACACAATGTAAACGATGTCGTTTAAGTTAAAGATGACGGAGACACATTCCCTATCCTTGCGGTCCTTCAGACCTTTTAACTGTACCTAGCATCGTAGGTCTTGATTCTTAGCGGAAAGTGGTGAGTCGCCCGTCTTGTTAACATCAGTCGCAAGCCGGAAACACGAGCCACGGATTTGCGCGATGCAGACAGCTTCACGTGTTTACTCGAAGATGGCGCTCTTGGTCAAACGCAATCATCATCATCGTTTACGCGGTCGCGCAAGTTTTACTATGGTGCCTGGAGCGTGTCTCCAACTGGTGTATTTAGCGTCCTATCCCGTCCATACATCAAAAGTGGTCCCAAAGTGGCAACAAATGACGTCACGGAAGCCGGAGTGTCATGCTGTTGCATGTCGCGATCCTGGCGGTTGGTCGTAGAAATGCTGGCGAAAACCACAGGCGAAAGAAAGTGTCGCTGTCGTCACGGCGTTCCAGGCATCCCAACTTCCAGCTGCTTTAGCTTACGTGGACTGCCGCATTGGAGAGCGACCTGCAGCAGAGCAGGCGTCTGCCACATACACCACAGCTATAGGGACGCCGCCAGGTTCGGGACCGGCGACAGCATGACACTTCTATGACGTCACCAGGCGGAAATCGAGGGACCACTTTTTTTGAAGCGGTAAACACACCAATCGGAGGCGCGTTTCAGGCACCGTAGTTTTACTATGGTGCCTGGAACGCGTCTCCAGCTGGTGTGTTTACCGCGTTCAGAAACGTGGTCCTCCGATTTCCGCCTGGTGACGTTATAAAAGTGTCATGCCGTCGCCGGTCGCGATCCTGGCGGAGCTCCATCAGCGGTGTTGGACGTAGAGACGCCTGTTCTGCTGCAGGTCACTCTCTGGTATGACAATCCAGGGAAGCTTCAGCAGCCAGAAGTTTGACGCCATGACGACAGCGACACTCGCGTTCGCTCGACCAACCGCCAGGATCGCGACATCCGACAGCGTGACACTCCGGCTTCTGTGACGTCATTTGTTGCCACTTCGGGACGACGTTTCATGTATGGGCAGGAAAAGACGCTAAGCACACCAGTCGGAGACGCTTTTCGAGGCACCATATATTACGATTCGCTAAAATACGCTAACTTTCAGGTGCGGTTACACGGAACCGACCAGCTGCACCGTGCATGATTTCGGTACCGTGTGCTCCAAAAACGAATCGCTAAATCTGCCCATGTTCTCGAGCCTCTCACCGTAGACGCTGCACTGAGTGAAAGTCCCACGCTGCTGCGGTCCAGCATCCCTACTCCCATGACGCAGAGAAGGAGAGTGCACAGGACGACCGCGAGACCGCAGACGGCCGCAATGGCCCGGAGGAAGCGAAAGCACATGCAGTAGGTCAAGTAGCCCCGCATGTTGACGTCGGCCAGGCGGGCGAAGTGGTCGCAGAAGCGCTCCACGACCCCGTACGCCCGAATGCTGCTCATTGCATCCATGCTCTCGGTCACGTGGGACAGCACACGAGACGCGGCCACGCTCTCAAAGTACCTGGACGTGTGGGAGGCCCGCACGGTGATCCTCTGGAGACAAACCAAGTGAGACGCACTGGTAAGGCCTAGGCGCGGCTCCACACTCTCTAACCGGAGTCAGATTGTTCGTACATCGTACAAGGGACCTGGTGTTGGCTGCAGACGTGACGACAAACGTATAACACGTCTGCGAACAGTTTTGGTATAGTCAATCTGACAGTCCCACAAAAAAGAAACAGGCCTCTGACAATGTCTCTAGCCTTGTCTCTTGTAGGATCTGTTAAGCAGTGATCACACTAATAACACATCATATCAAAGACAGTACTGTGCGTGTTCTTGTTTGTAGGGTGGTTCTTTCAAATTGGTCACGCAAAAAACGGTCTGCAGACATGTTTTAAGGAATACACACTTCGAACATGCGTGACGCATGCCCGCAGATAGTTTTGTCATTATGCCTTCAGCGAATAAGGCGTGTATTGTTCGATGCAAGAGCTGTCTGAATGCAGGCTAAGAGAGTTCCTGGGAAAAACCGTTGCTACAAGCAGTGTGCTCGAAACTCGCACCGTTTAGGCAATCGCAAAGGCAGTCGCATCGTCTCTTTACTTACGAATCCGTACAAGAGCACGACTCCGGTGACCGCTCCAACGAGGAGCACGGTGGGCGACTGGGCGCCGATCACCGCTAGTCGGGCGAACATGATGAGGCCGTTCTGGAGGCTCTGCTTGCTAAGCAGGTACATCTTGGAGTCGATGCTGTCCAGGTCCGCCGACAGGCGGTTCATGATGCGACCGCGAGGGGTCGTGTCGAAGAAGGACACTGGGCTGGACACGACGCACCGCAGCATTTCCGCGTGAATGGTTCGGGACAAATGCGCTCCGCTGTGAGCCAGCAGGACACCGCCGAAACAGCGGGCGACCACTGCGGAATAGGCGAAGAAAAACTAATCGGACCGTAGTCACCGACAGGGCGAGAAGGGCAGGGAGGGCATCCAGTTGTCTCGCCTTCGGCGCCAGATAGATACCTTCGGCAACACATTTGCGTTTCGTAAGCGTGGAGCGGGCTCGCGCTCCCAAAGCACGAAGGAAAGCATCAAGTGCGTGATGGCTGTTGGCATTCGAAAGAGATCTGCCCTGCGCTTTTTGCCCTGTCAGTGTGTGTCTGATCCCCAAAACTCTCCCTTGCCTTCAGTATGCACCAGCGACTGGAAGTACTCATTGACTGACATTGGTGTGTAACACTAATCCTTTTTCGTTCGTTAGAAAGAAAAATCAAATGCGTTTTTGTAGTTCCATTTTTCTTGTGGGTTGTATAATTTACTGTGTCTACTCCCCTAATATTATAGTGTAACTAAAAATCGTACATTAATTACTGAAGCATCTTTTTGACATTTTACCCCCCCCCCCTCCCACCCCAAACCCCCGTGAAAAAAAAACAAAAACAATTTAGGAATATTTGTGGAGCATCAGTAAACTTGAACTGGAACATGTGCTGAAACTTCCGGCTGTGAGAGTATTTTTGAAACTGTGAGTAAATAGCTCAAGTTTCAAGGTAAACGAAAAGTTCAGTAAATAACTACTAAAACAGAATATTGACAGCACAGCATGCCAAAACTATCAAGCGACCCCGCCATCCCCCCCTCCTCAGAACAGGTGCCCATTAGGCCACAGTCACACTGCCTATACATCCTAAAAAAAAGGCACGCTGTTTTGTGCAGAGATGATGGCAGAATTATTTTCGGACGCGCTTGTTGAAAGCCTATTTGCTTCATACAAGCATATGTATGCTTCAAATATGCCTGCAGAGAGTGTCAGTATGCCCCATGTGTTATACAGGGCCATCATAGAACAAAGAAACAAGTCTCAGACAGTGTCTGCCGGCTGTTCTCATCATCGAACGCGCGCGAAATTGTACTACATCTTTCTGCAACCGCGTTTGCAACCGCCTTGCGAACGCGGTTCACCCACCATTGCAAATGCATGTCATGTTTTCTTATCACCTTCATTCCACGCGTGACGCCACGTTTTGCGTGAGCGTAGTGGTTTGTTTGAAATTTCCGCGAGAGGTCATGTGGCTGTGACGTCATGACCCTATCGACCAATCCCGGATTTTAGCGCACGCCACCGACGCTGACGTTTCGGCGTCACGATCTCTTCAACGCAATCGCGTTAGAACGAGCGGATCCGCTTCGCGGTGGCGATTTGAACGCCAGAGTGAATGCAGGTACCTCGGGGACCTCTTGTAGACCAATCTTCCCTCTCCACTAGTCTGTCCGCAGCGTGGCTGCTGCGCATGCGCGCCGCTTGCTCGCAGAGATCTATTAGCGGGTTCCGGAAGGCCGTTCCGGGACGGCGGTAACGGTCTACGCAAACTGCCTAGTCACTCTCAACTGAATCGCGATTGCAGGCCGGCTTGGAGCTCACCGTCCACAACGCAGAGGAGGAGAAGCCCAGTCATCCAATCGGATCCGTCCGAGGCTCGGTGGACCGTGGCCCCTACCGACGAATCGATCCACTCCTTGATCCAGATGAGCTGGTAGCCGAGTGCCACGGCGCAGGCCACGAAGGCCAGCACCGCCACGGGAACACAGCGGCCCGAAAGCCGCAACAGCGTCCACGTGAGCCCCCAGAAGGTCTGCAGCACCAAAAAAAGGGGTTTCGTTGAATTTATTTGGCGTGTTGTACCACGGGGTCTATCAAAAGGAATGCAGGGATGATATAAAAAATGGCTGTATGCTTTCTTATTTTACTAGACGCGTTTAGATGCGGTAGTTTTATATGGGTGGGTGGCTCTCTAAAATCGGGTGGTGCCTAGTGAACGAGGACCCTAAAGGTGGTGGTGGGGGGCCTACAGCAGGAGGACCCTAAGGCAGCGAACGAAGTGTAGCATAGAACGTGCACCTTTCACTGGCCGGCGAGGAGGAACTGGGTAGCTGCGACCAATCAGTATCTGCTCTGCGCTACACCACGGTTGCTACGGTGAACGCCGGAGTATAGCCTTTAGTATTTCAGTGCCTGGGTTGGTTGGTGCCTAGCGCAGGGTTTTGTATAAAAGAAAAAAAAAAACAGATTACGCCAACCCATTGTTTCTTCGTGACGTTGCACGCTCTTCCCTTCGGCACCACCCGGATACAAAGCCTTTGCGCTGAATTTTCTGCAGGTAACCGAGAGAGGGGAAGCGCGTTTTCCTGCCCTTTCCACTTCTGCTCGTTCCACGCTCTCTTTCCATATCACCCGCTTCTGCTCCTCTTTCTTGCCCCTTTCCACCCTTGCCCGCTCAGCTCGCTTTCTTACACTACCTGCTTCTGATCCTGCTGTTCCTACAGGCAGCAGCGCGCTTGCCTTCCAGGCTCGTGACCGGCCCTGACACTGTTTGTCCTTTTTTTTTCTAAGATATTTTAGTGGTTACGGACTTACCGATCTATACATTTCGCTCTTACGCGGCTCCTGAGGTTGGTTAGCCCTACAAAGCTATATCTTCAAAAGTATACATGCAGTGTGCGAGCTAGTCTTTGGACATATTTACTCTCGTAAGACGTCGATTAGGCCACACGCAGTGATCACAAAATTAGTATCTTAAAAATGTAATTGAAATGAAAGCATCCATCAACCGCGAGTGGTCGTACTGCAGTGCATGACACCGTAACGAGGTTCGTGAACACATTTGAGCACGCGCAGTAGCCAAAAATGGCTTTTTTCGTTGAGCCTCCACCTCGGGCTTCCCGACATTGTTTTGGATGGTGAAAGATCTAGAATAGAAGGTGACATTATGTTCATACCATTGTTGACTTGGATTGCTCCTGTCCCATCAGCCGTCCGTCAGATTCTCCCTGTGATTTAGAATCGTCAGCACTGCAAACATAATCAGAACATATCTACGGTAACTGTAGCATCTAGTATTGTTGCCAAACAACAGTAACATGCCTTCTCGGTGGTGCATCACAACACAGACGAAGAAGAAACATACGCACAAACATCAAACATAACATTATACACACAAAATACCAAACTAAAAAAAAAAAAGACTGAAAACAAAGTCACATGCTTTATTATCGTTCTGACATTACTAAGTTTTGTAAAAAAAGATTAATGGCATGAACCTGTCAATTTGATTATACCCCAACGTAACGCGCGCGCGTTATACGTCGATATTACGTCGGCGACAACCAAAGCCTTTAGCCCTGGTTCACACTTGCGAATCGGCGGGCGAATCTGCGAGAATTCAGCCGCCGGGCGTAGCGTCCACTGTGCATTGCCGCGGTCGATTCCGCTTCGGTGGCAGCGGATTAACTGTAAGTGTGAACCAGGCCTTAGGGTTCCAATATATTCGGCGTTCCGAATTGTATGCAGCCGAAGGAACGAAGGACAGGAACGGAAGGCAAAGAAACCTGGGTAATTGTCTCGGTTGGCTACTTTGTGTAGGGTGAGAGAAAATGGGGAGGTGAAGGGAAATATTTTACTCTGGAAGACATCTTACTCCGCAAAAATCTCATGACCTTCGAGCCGAAATCTTTTGCGTAGTAAGGACGGCTGAACGCGCGTAACCTCGAAGGTTTTCACTTTGGATAGGGCGGGGTGGCTGCCGCCGTCTATTGTCGTGGACAACTTCGGAGGCAGCGGAGACCGCCGTCTCTGCTGTCTTGACAAATCCGGTATCTCGGTGCGTCGGCGGCATATCCCTCTCCCTCATCACGAAAGCGTGGACAGCGATGGGCATACGTTCCTTCGGACGCGGGCTGTCAATGCCGTTAAATACGGTGTGGTAGCCGCGCTGTCTAATGGAAATGAGAGGGAGTAGAATGCATTCTCCTAGAAAGTAAAATCCGTTATCGTTACACGTTTTGAACACTGCAAACACGTCACTGCTTACAGAAATGTTGGTTCACACATTTGCGTTTGAGTGTATACTCGAGCGCGCGCGGATCCGTTGTAACCGCTTAACGCAGCATCTAGAGGGTATCTCTGGAACACCTGTACCTTGTGTATAGCTATACTTACCAGCAGGGATGGGCAGTATTTCAAATACAAGTATTTCAAATACGTATTTCAAATACTTTGTGTATTTTGCATTTGTATTTAATTACAAATTGAGTATTGTATTTGACGTGTGTATTTAAATACTAAAACGTAGGTATTTCAAATACAATTGTAATTAAATACAATTTTGTGGGCGAAAATACATCCCTCAAATTTATTGTCTCTGTCCAGAGCAGGAAGAAAACTACGCTCTGCACCGAATGTAGTGTCTCTCAATCAAGCACAAGTGTTTAGTGACTTTGTGATTACGGTGCTAGTCCAGGGCAAGAATAGTGACGAAATCGATGTTCACAGGCAGCCTGGCTAAATAAGTGCTTGTAACAACTTGTGATGCTTCCCAGCCTGATTTTCATCCATATTTTTGCCTGGAACATTCTAAATTCGCGGGTCGTCCAGATTTTCGTAACTGGTGCGAGTTGCAACAATAAAAAATTATCTAGCTAGTGCTGCGCGTCTTGGTCTTCTCGGATCTTTAGTGATCTATACCAAAATGTAATCGACAAAAAAAGCTGCTTGAAGCTCTGTACTTTTTTCATCTATTACGTCCAAGCTGATTACATTTTTTTAAATTATATTTCTATTACGTTACTAGAGCCTCGCACACTAACTTCCGAGTGTGCGATGCGAAATTAAAATGAGATAACCAGAAAGCCATTGCAGGTGCCCTGAAGTCGCTGACGCAAATTTTGAGGAATGTATTTGGAAAAGTATTTGGAGGAGACCAAATACATTTGGTTGTATTTGTATCTTGTATTTAAATGCTTTTTCGGAAATGTAATTAGATTTGTAATTAAATACATTTTTGACGAAGTATTTTGTATTTGTATTTCGATACATATTATCATGTATTTTGCCCATCCCTGCTTACCAGACGCAGCCGACGCAGAAGCCAATGAGACCAATCAAGCAGCTTACAAAGCGCAAGTCACTAAGCCAGGCCTTTTCTGTTTATGATAAGTTCAGCGATGATAGCAGATGTACAGAAACATGGCGAACACCACAGCCAGTGAGACAATACCTCACGTCCGGCAAACACCGCCACCACCACCACGATGGCTCGTTTTGACGCTGTCTGATTGTTCCCGTCAGCTCGCGTAGCGTCGGCTGCTTTTGGACTTAAAGGCGCCTACAAAATCCTTTCCCGTAGGGTAGAAAAATTCTCCTTGCCACCCTTCCCATTTCATCCCCTTGCACTGGTACCTTCACGGCGAAGGGACACCTTTTGTTGCTGTAACTTCGGGCTGTATAAACCGAGAGCTTCTCGCGAATTATCCACCTCCAAGATGCAGCAATAAAAGTGCGAGTACCCGGCGTTGTCCAATTCCCCTATAAAACATTGTCTTATAGGGGGGATTGGTACAGCTCTCACAGCATCGAAGAGTTTCTGTTTCCAAACCTGTGGTCTGTTGCCGGCCTCTGTGTCGTTGTAACAGAGCTGTTGCGAAGGGTTTCGGGGCTCCTCGGGTCCTTGAGTAGTTTGGCCGCGCTGTCATACACGATGATGTGCTTGTTGTGAACCAGGACCAACTGGTCCATGTATGACAGAAATGACCCCTGGTTACACACCATGATCCGTGTCTGCAATTGAATACCAGGGCCATCTAAAATCAGAAGTCACCAAAAAGAGACCGCGAACCAACTTTTTAATTCTACACAATTCTTTTAGAACCGGAGCCGATACCTTAGAATCTTCATCTTCAAAGCCTTGCGCAGCGTTGATTCATAAAGTTCTTTTCGAGCATGAGGGTTTGAGAACACAGCATTGTGCGTAGAAATTCTCTTCTTGCTCATGTGCCCACACTGCTTGGAAGCATCTCTCGATGCTTCTAAGCAACCCATGCGGAGACGGATATTGCAAACGAGCAAATGGTGCCATCGTCCTTCATTATTTTCGCGACTCTGCAGGTTTAGCAGCATACAATCAAAGAGAGTGGGTTTTACTTTAAGCTATACTGCTGGAGCTCGAAACAAATGGAGCATAAACTCAATCGCGCAGCGGTAAAAACATTTTTTTCTTTGCCATATTCATTTTGACGCGGGCGGCCAATGAGAAGCTGGCGCAGTGTAATAGTCTGTTCAAGCCGTAGAGATCGTATAATGTACGCTAGAGGTTCAAATGGTGCTATTGTGCTCAGGCAAATGGAAGCAGACAGCAACCAGTCGAAAATTGACTTCCGGTAATGTATTTCTATGGGAAAAAGTGAGTGTATTTTCTCCCTGCGCTCGATCACGAGGGCAAATATCCCGAATAATTCGTACGTAGGTAGCTTGGAACATTTATCAGACAGACAGACGAAATATTCAATCCGTTACGGTGTTTTTCTTTCAAAGTCATTGCATAAAAAATGGTGTTTAAACGGCTTCGTGTGCGTATTTATGTGCACTGTCATACGCTGTTAGCAGGAACACGACGTCGGCGCTCGAATCGAACAAACGAAGGACGGCTGGAAAACCAAGAGAGACATCAAGAACTACGAAGTAACACTGGATCAGTAACTCCCTGTGCAAGTACGATTAGAATAAATTGAAGGCCAAGTAATACAGTCCGATTTTCAATAAGTACTTCTTTATTCTTTCTCATCTGTGCGAATACGTTTGTTCTTTGTTCAAAACATCACCCGCCCGCTCAAAATCATTGAAAAGAAGTGCTTGATGAAAGCTGCCCGGCATAGAAAACAATAAAATTAGACACATTTCATAGCCCACGTACTCAGCTGTACTTTACATTTTGAGTGTTATTAACCGCTCGTAAAGATGCAAGACGGGGTCATTTTCATATACCTAGTGGCAGGACTGGTATATTAGCAACGTATAAACACTAACAGAAAACTGGCGAACCTTGAACACACTCTACATTTTTTACAATTGGTATTTTGCTTAGAATCGCCGCTTGGTTTTATACACCCGCTGTAAAACGCAGGTTTGGGCCTGAAATGTAGCGAACTTAAACATCGTTCACTCACAAAAAAAAAAAAATGAGCTAAATAAACCAATTACACTTCTAAAATGTTAATAAAGGTACATAATACTTGGTACGACCGAAATAACCAAAGCTATCTGTATTATTCGCCGTCAAAGAGACAACATTCACGCTCGTTTTCCCATAGGAACGCACAGGAGCACCGCAAAAGTAGACTGGTTCCAGTCTGCTTCAATTTGCCTCCCGGAAGTCACATAGACACTCGCGCCAGTTGAACCTCTAGCGCACATTATAAAAACTCTACGGTTCAAGCAATACCAGCTAGAAGACGAGAACAAAGAGGGGGGGGGGGGGGGGGACGGCGCAGGTCTTGTCTTTTAAATGGTATGCGCAAAGCAAGTCGTCTACGTTTTGCTCAGGAGTTACGATAACATCAGAACGACGCCGAGCTTTAATTGGATTTCACTGGGAGGGTAGTTGGCAGACCTTAATGCCTTGAGCTAGAGGTCTTGAGCTAGAGGCCTTTAGCTAGAGGCCTTGAGCTAGAGGCCTTGAGCTAAAGAAGAGCTAAAAATAGGTAAACTCGAGGTGACCTTGTTGTTGAGGATGCCGTCCTTGCCGATGAGCTCCTTGAACACTCGGCCGGCAACTCCAGGATCGAGGGCGCTCAGGGGGTCGTCCAGGAGGTACACGTCGGCCTGGTTGTAGGCTGCGCGAGCAAGGCTGATCCTCTGTTTTTGACCGCCACTCAACGTCTCACCCTTTTGGAACAAGACGAGTGAAACTGTTGTAACACACAAAAGCACGAACTTCAAAATGCCGGTTCAACTAAAAACGAAAAAGAAAAAGAAGAAGCTGCCAGAGATCTTGATATTTAAAGTCCTATAACGTACGGGATGCCGTAATTGAGGAGCGATCGTGTCAATCGGTCTAGAAGGCATTAAACGGTTGTTTAGGAAACGTGACATCAGTTATAGTAGCGTCGAGTCTCCCCCTAAATTTAGCGGGAAATTGAATTTGTGTAGAGGCCACGTGACGTCAGTTTTATCGCTAATTGTAGGGGGTAAACTTAAATGATATATTGGACGAGTGACGTCCATTTCCTTGTTAAGCTCATCGACGAAACTGAAATCGTCCGTATGTCACATGACGTCAATTATCCCGTTAACTTTAGCGGCGAAATGCTTGAACGGGCGGACAAACGAATTTTTGGGATTACGGGCTTCTGTTAAAGAGCATTCTATACATTAAAACTAAAAAAAGAAAGATGCGATGGTTTTTGTAAGAGTGTTGGCGCAACTTACCTTCTCCCCGACCTCTGTCAAATCGCCCGCCGGAAATTTTATGAGGTCATTGCGGAGCTGGCAGGAACGCAACACGCGCTCGTAATTTGCTCTGTTCATACGTGTACCATACAGTATGTTGTCTCTCACGCTCATGTTGTGCACATTGGCGATCTGGGGAACGTAAGCCACACGGCCCTGGCAAGGAAGCAAACAGTTCGCGTGAATGTCAGTTATTTCATGGATTCTTCCAAGACACGACTAGAACTTTGTACTTCCAGGTATACCACTCATGGCGCTTTCATTATGTTCATTTTTGATGTTTTCTGGCAATTGGATTGAGGCCCACATGAAGAGGAAGTCTTCAGGTGGCTATAGGTCGTTTTCAAAGCCTCATAAAGCAACACTGGCAAAGAAGGGTGTCATTGGACACCAGTCCTGGTCAAATTCCGACGTAACACTCGGTCTCGATACGAGCTCAGCCGAGCTCTTTCTTTCTTAGCTTGAGAAGGCTTTGGTGATGTAATAAAACTACCATTCTTTCTAGATAGTAAGTGCATGCATTTGATCTCGCAAACATCGCAAAATCTTCGCTCTAGTGAAAGGCAGTTCCAGGGTTGCCTCATAAATGGCGCCAGCGTGCCACTGTGCTCTCTCGTTGTAAGAGGTCACAAGACCTCTGTTCTAAGCAAACACAAGTCTGTGAATGGCCTTTAGTGTGAAACAGAGTATAGAGAGTTTTTATTTGACGGTTCCTGGTTAAAATATGGCGTATAGTTGGGTTGGACGACAAAAACTAAAGTAAATAGTTTAAACAAAACTACAATAATACGAAAATGCAACCAAAAATGTTAGGACTATCGTCGCGAACCCCTTGAATTCTAACGCCTTCCAATCGGAAAGTAAAATGACTCGCTATTTTGCCCCAACTCAAGCTACGTCAGGATTCAACATGGCGGCCGCCACGAAAGAACGGTCTACGGGTGGTGCTGCTTTGACCAGTTTCTTGATGCTCCAGCAGAAGCCAACGTCACCTACCGTACACGTCACGCTGCCCTGGAGACGGTGCATGTCACCGAGAATTCCGGCAAGGAGAGACGACTTGCCGCTCCCGACAAAGCCGACAACTCCGACCAGGGATCCGGGCTTCACGTTCAGGCTGACGTTCTTCAGCACCGTGCCGGAGTTCTCATCGCTGGCCTTGCTCCAAGCGAAAGAGCACTGCTCCAAGATCACCTCTCCTGCCGGTTTTCGTCGTGTGGTTTAGGAAGTATAGGAGGTATTCACTGGACGCCATATTTGAGGGCGATGTTTAGAGCGCATGCTCAGAACGAGCTCACATTACTAGCCTGCTAAGACCGGCTACCTTGATGGTGCTAAATGCACGCCCCAAAAGGACTACGGAAGCTCGCCGTCAGCACACGCTCAGCAGCAGCGCACACGGATATGGCCGCCAGTGAATACTCCCTATAGTTTGTAGAGGATAGGGAGTTTCAGTAGATCGTTGCGATAACTTCGATAACGATACTCCGCACGCGCCTTTGCTCATACGAATTGGTATCGTTTCGAGAGTGTCGGAGCAATATCTACTAATACTCTTCATTAAAACACAATAACGGCTGGGTCGATGGGAATATTCCAGTATTCTCGGTTTCACTTTATTGTGGACTGTTTTTATGGCTGCAAATATGAGCAATAACCGTTACATAGTCCTCAAAAAAAAAAAAAAAATTGAAGCATAGCAAACGTATAACAAAGCCTTGTTGTTTGAAACAGAAGTTACCCAATAATCAAGTTTTTGGTTGTGAATATCTACTTAGAATCCTCAAACGAGAACTATATTATCTAAACAAACCTTAAAAAGGAGAATTATAGATATATGTTTTACTAGGCAGCGCATCCTTCGTTTAGCGTTTTTTTTCTCTATTTCTTTATCTTTCTATCAAATAAACAGCGACCTGCAAGCTCTGTCAAAGAAACCGTTCAAAGGGTTCTCGCAGTTTTTTTTAGATTTCCAGGCATCGCAGAATGTTGAAATCTCACCGGAAGGCGTCTACTGCGGTGATTGTGGCACGAAAAAGTCACCTCAATGCCCAAATATAAAGTTGTAAGGGACTTTCTTCTAAACAAAAGCAAGCAGCCCCGCCAGTAGCAGACATAAACCCCTACTTCAGACTGCGGCTCATAGATGGCGGAAGCAGTCCTATCGTGAACTCCAGAAAAGAGAAAAAAAATTCTACATACAAGTCTCTCTTTCTCTCTGTCCTTCCCATCTTATCTCTCTCTCCCCACGCCACCGTTTCGGATGACCTATACGGTTGTCCGTCAAGCTACACGGCGGCTCATTTCATTTTCATGTAAATAAAGCGTTTCAACAACAACAACAACAACGTCCGTTTTTTTATCGTTCCCCATCTCAGGGTTTAGAAGATGTCGAAAAAATACCCCTGGGGTTAACCGGCTCCTTCCTCTCAAAGCACGTTTACGACCAGCCAGTGCGATCTGTAGAGCTATGGCATTAGCCATGATGCCTATCATGCTTGCCTTATTCTGAGTGTCACGGAGCAGAGACAATCTCGCGATTTAAACATTTTTCCGAATCAGCGTTTTGCGAAGTTCTTGCGAAAACAGTGATATTGCGCTCCGCGTGAGGATGCGTCGGCGTGTTCATGCGACTATTTATCTCCAACTATTTGTGTCGTCCGATAATACTTCTAAAATTATGCCATTCTTTTGGTTTGTTGTTGTTTGCAAAATCGGCTGACTATCCTTTTTTTTTTTTCAGGAGCAGGGTATTCAATCCCGTTGATCCCATTGAGATTACATCAGTAAGTAACTTACATGTCCAGATTCCCGAGACAATCGGAGGAAGAACACGAAGCGATTCGAACAGTTCTGCATTTTCTCGGCTTATTTGTTTGTGCTTATTTCTCTTTATAATATCACCAGTTTAGACAATTCTAGCTTCAGCGAACAATTAATAAGGCTTCCTTCGCTTGTCGGCGGCGGGGCTTTCGATCGGGGTGGCGTGTAAACCCTGATTTGGATTTCGTTATGTCCACCGGAACCCCATGGCTAACGGCAAGTCAGAAGACTCCAACTGAACGCTACAACATTCCTTCTTCAACTCGCGGATCCTCTATCGCCGAGCTAGAGAACGAAGCCTCCGTCACTAATCTTGCAGGAGTTAGAACACCTGACCACGGACCCAACATCTTTCCACCCAACGCTGAACTGTTAACTGTCGATATGAATATTGCTGACACCGACCAAGGTGGATAGTAAGGCGCCAAGACATCTAAGAAGCGGAAAAATAACTCCGGTTCAAACCCAAGCGGAGACACAGTTATGAAATCACCTACCACGACAGTAGGCCTTTGCTGTAACGTTTATATCAGCTGTTGAAAGCCAAAACATCACAGCGATCAGCAGTTTAAAACTTTGTGTCGCGTTAGAACAGATGTGTACCGAATGTATCCGCAAAATTAGGCCCAACAGCAGATCAAATCTGATCTCAGTGGAGACTCTACATTGCCAGACGACCCATGCGCTCCTTGCCTGCACTCAGATCTGCTGTTTGAAAGATAGGGCGTACGAGCTTGTTCCGTGGCACTTCGGAGTGATCAAAGACATTGACACCTTCACCTTCTGATGCCTAAATTAAACAACATGTGAAATCACCAGAAGGTCGAGTGGCTAGAATCCAACGGCTTGGACAAAGTCTCGTAGTTAAGATATCGTTCAGCGAAACAACGTTGCCGAGTTTTTTTAAAATCTCGGTCAGGTCCGCTGTCCGGTGTCCCCGTACAAGGAACGCCCAATTCAGTGCCGCAACTGCTGTAAATATGGACATTGCGAAGCCACTTGCAAGCGCCCACCCATCTGCAGTCGCTGCTGAGAAGCCCACGAGGGCAACGACACGTGTTCTGCTCACGAAAAAGGAGCAAGTTGCGGTCAAGCTCACGCTGCTACATCCTCTTTCTGCCGAAAATGACAGGAAGAAAGTTACACCCGCAACTACGAACGCAAACACAAACACGCAGTTGACTTTCGCGCCGCAAAGTCCGCCGTCTCGCAACAGAGCCAAACGAAACAAATGGCTGAATTTGAACAGCGACCTCGACACCCACAGAACACAATGAATTAAACATCTAACAAGCAGAAACCAAGCACCCATGGCTATTCTGCAGCTTTGAAGAAGGATCAACAGAAGCTCACGGAGGGGGCCTTTTTCTCAAGCGACCCTGAAACTCAGGTTTCAGAACCGAAGGGAGAAAGGAAAATGCCGTCGACGTCAAGGGCTGCCACTCCTGATTCAATGCTGAAGGCTACTTACAACTCTGTCGCTCCGCCAACCAAAGGGAATGCATGGGAGAGCTGGATTCCGCTGGTCAAAAGAGCAGCTCGCAAGGCCTACAGCCTATTATCTTCTGTCGACGCTCAATGGGCACAAAACGTCACATACTGCTTGATATGCTTCTTCCGCTTATGGGAGAATTATAAACGCGGGAAGCATCAACAAGCCGGATACACCCGTCCGCCATCTCAGATTATTCAGCGTATTATCAGGATTATTTACCACCGTCTTGAAGAAAGACAGGCCTACGATTTCACCGAGAGCCCTGACGGAAGACCTGGCTCTTTTTAAGGAGCCAGGATTGGAGTCATTATCATTCCAGCCTACGGAGCCAACACACCTTACCACTGACGTCTTTTTGGCCGCAGATCTTTCAAGCTGCAAAGACCTTTTTCACTAGCATGCAAGACACAGCTTTCAGAGGTATCATGCTTACACTTTTCACTATAGATGATTGAGCCTACTCTCTGTCCAGGTCCCAGCTGTTGATCCCGACACGCTATCAATAGATGATTTTTGATACCAAGCAACATTTTCCGGTGGAATGCAAGGGGTCATCGCAGCCGTCTTTCGGACTTTTGCCGATTAGTGTAAAAGTACTAATTTCCCGTTATGGCCTTATCAGAATCCAACATTACCATCAATTTTCGTCTATCGTGTAATGAGTTTTTTATTCGCTGCGAGGTAGATCTGCAAGCAAAGTTCTAGTGGCAATTTGTAACGATCTTACCTACATCTCCCACAGTTATTCTCAGATGCCACCAGTGAGTACGTCGGTTTAACTGTCAAACAAGGCCGTAACATGTTCACCCTAATCGCAGGATATATTCCGCCAAATACACAGTTTGACTCTCTGCCCCCTATTAGTTCTATTATAAGAAACACCCCCTCTCCACACATCTTAACGGGGACTTTAATGCCCCTCAACTCCTTATGGGGAAGCACGAAATCAACCACCTCTCTTGTGGCACCCACCCACCAGCATGGTCTTTTTACTCTGCATGACGGAAGTCCGACCTTTTTCCGGGGCACAATTAGAAGCAGCTGCTTGGATTCGACATTTGCATGTTGCAGTTATTCGAATTCTTTTACATGGTTCACAGATATTGAATGCCATAGCAGTGACCATTTGCCTACGTACACACTTCTTAAGGGGTTTATATCCAAAACCATATCGTCAACAATCCGACCCACTGATTGCTACCTTTTCAAAGTTAACTTTGAAAACGCATGTGAATGATTTAGCAGCGACGATGAACTCTACCGTGATATCGGAAAACTTGTGACGCTAGACACAAAGGCATAAAATTTACTCCGAAGGTTTGCTATGATTGACGTGGAACACGAACGTCTTTGTGCTCTTCGCCGGAAATACGAACGAAAGACAAGAAAAACACATGATCCTGAAAATATTCGTAGTGTTGTTCGCCCACAAAAACGCATAGAACGCCACCCAGATGAACTAGCCCAACGTCATTAGAGAGATGATTGCGCAAAATTAGATCCTCGTAAGCCTCTTTCTAGAACACGCAGCCTTGCTCGTGGTCTAAGGATGACTCCACAATAGCGTCACCCTTTCCGCGCACTAGCACTCCGTCTAAATCTTCCGGAACTAGCTGTGGCTGAAGAGTACTGTAAAAATCTCACAAAGAACGTTGAAAATCCGAACATTCCACTTGTTAAATCTAACAGTCCATTTCGAGCGCCTTCATTCATGAACGCACCGTTCGATTTACGAAAACTAGAAGAGACCTTTTCTGGATTAAGTTTCGAATTCTCTCCCAGTCCCGACGGTATACCTTATGCAGCCTTAGTTAACCTGAGTACGCAAGGGCATTTAGTGAGGCTCTTGGATCTGTACAAAACATTGTTGGAAACGAGGCAGGTGCCCCGGGAGTGGAGAAAATCCTTTATCAAAACGATCCTTAAGCAAGGAAAATCTCCCTTAGACCTCTAATCGTTCTGTTCAATTGCTTTGCCCTTTTGTCACAAAAATCATGGAAAGAATGATATATACCCGACTTGAATGGTACCTAGTGAAACATGACATAAACCCTGAGGTTACGGCAGGTTTTCGACGCGGGCACAACTCCGTTGATAATGTCATTGACCTCATAACTAGCATAAAAAATCGGAAGACTCATTACAGCAGTCTTTCTAGATATTAAGGGCGCTTTTGACTCAATAAGCCACAAGGCTATCCGCGACGCACTCTGCTATGCCGGAATAGGAGGACATCTTTACGCATGATTTGAGGCTATCTAGAAAAAAGAATAGTATTTATGGTGACGGCAGAAGGGAAACAGCTGAGTATATTTTTGCTCGAGGCGTGCCACAGTGCGTTGTTCTCAGTTCCACACTTTTCAATGTCACCCTCATAGGACCTGTAGACAAACTTCCTCGAAATGTCAGAATACTTCCGTACGCGGATTATATTTGGAAATGTACCTCATCAATCATTCAGAGATTTAATGCAATTTGAATTCAGAAAGCACGTGAGGTTATTTCGAATAACTTAAAATCCCGTGGATTATCGCTATGGCCATCAAAGCCCGCGGCTATGGCTTTTACACGGAAAAGAATCATTAGGTATAGGCTCACTATTGATGCTCACCCTATTCATATGTACAAACTCACAGATTTCTTGTTCTTATCCTAGACAAAAATTCACCGTGGACATCAAACGTTGAAAAACTGAAAAGAAAGCTTATAGCATTACCCAGCTCCTACAATTCATAGGTGGAACTACGTGGGGTGCGTCTGTGACTCCACTTATCCATTTATGTAACGCTCTTTTGTCGGCTTTATTCGATACAGTCCACCTGTACTTCATGAGATGTGCCACACAAATATAAGAGCGCTTGATAGTATGCAGCTTAAGCCCTACATGCATGCCTAATTACAATGTAGCGCAAATACAACAAAGGAAGGAGACAGACCTACGTGCCTGTCTAGGACTCCCAAAATGTACTTCCAATGTTGGAACTGTAGCTGAAGCAGGCTCTATTCCCATTGATGTCCTTAGACTGCATGAGACCCTTCGAACTGGCCTTCGTCATCTTACCAGGCACAGAGAGTCTCAAATCCACTATATTGCGGATATGGCAGATAACAGAAGTGCGTCTGGGTTTGCTCAAATTATTAATTCTGGCAGCTTGAACACTCCACGAGATTTCGAACCAGCAGAGTTCAGTTAATCGCCCCCATGAACCTATTCAATAATTAACATAAGGACAAATATTCCAGGGCGACATTAAAAAACACATTTCGTTGGCCGTATTAAGGCAAGGCTCTTTGGAAATAATTAATGTTCCTCATTGTTCGCGAACGCATGTCTATATCGACGGGTCCAGTACTGATGAAAGCTCCAGTTACAACTTCTTGATACCATCCATCAATGACAGACTTTATGGAAAACTATGTCACACGCGACATCACTCGCAGCAGCAGAATTAGTAGCGATTCGGGAAGCACTTCGCTTCATTTCTGCGAGTGATTACATAATTGGTCAATTTTTACCAATTCTAGCTAGGGCAGCTCTTTAGAGTCTCAAATCTACTAAAAGCAAGAACGTCAATGCACAGCTCGTTTATCAGATTCTGAAAATTTACCAGGACGCTATCGAAAAAGAGCATGCTCTGATATTACAATGCATCTCATGCAATTGCGGCCCATCTAAGGGAAGGAAAGTGCTGATTTGGCGACCAAGGATACTCACCCACCTAATGCTGGCTTAATAATCCCATTCACACGAACATAGCTAGGGCCAGAGCAACCGTATTGTTAGGACTATGATGAGTTCCCTCTGGGCGAATCCGCTTTATTATTACAGACACCTGCACACATGGGCGTACCTACCAACCGGGGTGGGGGGGGGGGGGGGCAAGGGGGTGCTTGCCCCTCCAGTTTTCAGAGTGAGGGGGGGGGGGGGGGGGGGGCAAGGCATCTGTTTTGCCTCCCTGAAACAGCCACCACTGGGCAGGGCAAACACTTGCCGGCGGCGCCCCAGGGATACCAAGGGCACCGCCCCCGGTCCTGGGGGGGGGGGGGAGGGTGGTCTGGCCCCCTACTCAAAAACAAGTTGGTACGCCACTGCCTGCACAACATTCACCCTTCCATTGTCTTTCGTTCACACCGAGGTCTTAAACGCCGACTGAAACTACTCTCCACCGAATGCGACATAACGTACCTTCAACGGGATTCTATCTCAACCTCATAGGCCAGCTGAACCTATCAGAGGACCGTGCCGTCACAGACACACTCGAACATGTCCTGTGCCAGTGTAGCCAACACACGAGTCAACGAAATGAACTGGTACATTCTCTCCGTCTTCCCAACGAATAAGCTCTTTTCCTGACTCACTTCCTCGGACCATGGGACTCAGCATTGGGAAAAGTCAGATCACCGACCTCCTTCATTCGCTATCTTCGAAAAGCAAAACTGGACAGAATACTCTGGATCCAGCACATGCTGCTAAATGACCAAACAACAACGAACGAAATTCCTTTTTCTTTTGTGTATATACCTATATGTATATACATAAGGGAGAAAAAAGTAAACACGCACACACACACGTGTGTGCGTGTCATATATATATATATGTGTGCGTGCGTGCGTGTGTGTGTGTGTACGTATATAGGTATTTATGTACACGCATATATTTTTTTGTCTAATCTTTACATCCCCTCGCCACCTACCCCGAAGTCTGAAGTGGCCATATTGCCAATCTCTGAGGGATATATCCTCTTCACCTTTCCACTAAACATATTTTTATCTCTTTCTCTCTCCCGAGACAATCAGGGTTTAGATTATGATGTTCTCTGACTAGCTCGGGTCGGTTTATTTACGCTTCTTACATGACGTCTCTGATTACTCACAGGGAAATTTCTTTAATCACTTTATATTTTCTTACTTCCTTCGGTCACCCTCATCTCTCGCCGTTTGTGATGTGAGCGCTTACCCTTCTGTCTGCATTTCTCTCCTCCTGTCGAGTCGTTCCCGGTCTCTATCTCTTCCTCCGTGCAGAATTTGACGATACGGCGAAGTGCCAACGACACCTTAAACAAAAAAAAAAAAAAAAAAAAGGGCAAACGTTTAAGGATGATGGGGCAAACGGCGACTCATCTCAAGATGATGAAGGTAAAAGAATATTTTGCAGCACCAAAGTAAACAGTTCGCCATCTCGGGGCAAGAGGACTGTCATCAGGCTCTAATGAAATAAAAGAATCACGTTCTTATTTAGTGCCAATGATGGCGTTACCGGTGTAGAAAAATGCGCAATAGAGAATCTGGAGTTACAGGGTGTTTTTCATTTGTTTGTTTAAGTTTAACAAATTTGTTTAAAAAGAATCGCGATCCCTACACTTATGCTGCAGGTGAATTATTGGGGCAGGTGTTGATTTAGTGGTCTTAGATGATGCTCAGCAGGTTTTTAATTAAAAACTTCCGATTAAAAATCCAAATAACGAATTTTAATTAATTAGTCGGCTGATTGTTACGATTAGCCCCTATACTATGTCCCCCTGCCCGTATAACTTACCTGCACAAAACGCATTTCACGGCTCTTCTTTTAACAAATCTGTTAAGCTTAAAATTTTTTTTAATTTTTTTTTGTATGTAATGACGTTTTTATAGACACTGCTATTTTGAAGAACTTATGACGATAATATAGTCGCACTTCTTGCTTTCTGATTGGTTCTTCGTTATTCTTTTTGGTTAACGCCGCAAGCTGATATGCTGCGAGGAGATGATGAGGTGCTCGGACTTGGGCACATCCTACGTTTCTTAAATTGTTCGTGACTAGTATAATGGACGTACGCAACAGCTTGTGATAAGACGCAAAAGCAACGAATAATGATCTCCTCACGCCCATCTAAGGATTTATCAACGCGATAACTCTATTCTTCTCATCTTCTAAAAAAGAAGACGGAGTGTACGAACACTTTTATTAAATTCTTGTGGCACGTTCTGAGGATGACCACAGATGCTGTGTTATTAAACGCAACCGATCCATGGAGATGACCAGGGAGTCTGTACACGACACTAAAGAAAAAGAAAAGTAAGCGATTACAATTACAATTACTTTTTCTTAAAAAGTTTTCAATTAGATAACTCAATTACTCAATATGAGGAGTAATTGACCGTTAATTGAAAAAGTGACCGTTACTTTTCCGATTAATGAATACTTAGAAACAAACACACACACACAAAAAAAGACACAGTTTCTTTGCCTGTATGAAAAAGGGCCTTTTTGTACTCTCCATTATTGGATTAGAATCACCGGATTAGGAACTACCTGTCTTCTTAATCTACCAATTTGGCTAAACCATCCTCCTGGCCGAGATTTGCTTCGAGGATTCCTTCGTAGTAAACTTCTACCAACCAAGGGCGCCATCAGAAACGGAGTTGGAAAGAAGTAAAGCGTACAAAAAGTATTCTTAGTACCTTCAAAAGTAATGAAATTGATGATGCGACTACTTTCTAATAAATGTAAGGAAGTGATTACAAAATTTCCCCCAAAAGTAACTAATTCCAGGAAATTTGGTTACTCGTAATAAGTGCCGTACAAGTCTGTTGGAAGATACGCGGTGCCGGAAAGAAACTGTACTAGCACACAGTGGTGTACCAACTTGTTTTTGAGTGGGGGGGTAAGGGCAAACCAGAACCCCCCCCCCCCCCCCCCCCCCCCCCCCCAGGGGCTGGGGGCGGTGCCCTTGATATCCCTTGGGCGCCGCCGGCCAGTGTTTGCCCTGCCCAGTGGCGGCTGTTTCAGAGGGGGCAAAACACATGCCTTGCCCCGCCCCCCCCCCCCCCCCCCACCCGGTCTGAGGGCTGGGGGGGGGGGGGGGGCAAGGGGGCCCTCGCCCCCTCCCCCCCCCAGCATGGGCGTACCAACCCCCCCGGTTGGTACGCCCATGCTAGCTATCTGTGGCACTTCCAACGAGATGAGAAATGCGCGTGCACGGGTTTAATCGGCGCTCAGGCACGCCATCCCGTACCTTTAGCTGCACTGCCACAGAAAGTTGCCCACGACTATAGTCGGAAACGGAGCTTCTTCAAAAAGTACATCGAGCAACATTGGCGGTCGCCATTTCTCGGTACGAAGCGTCTGGTTGGACCCGAGTTCACGCCGAACACTGACGCGGCCCTGGTGGCCAATAGGAGCTCAGATAACGTGGCCAATCGACGGCAAAAATCGGGTGGTTGGCGCAGCTGCTACGAGAGGGCGCGCACTTTTGAAAGGCTTCTATTTTAGCTGGTCACGAGGAACAGTTTGTGTGCTACTGAAACTACTCTCGAAGACCCAACGAGTGTTGCTATTTCAATGTACTGTTGTCTTGACGCGTAAAACGTCTTCACACAGATGGAGGAAGTTACGAACATGGTGGACGAACGCAAACGTTCCGTTTATGATTCTGCATTTCTAGACAAGTGACAAATGTCTGTAATGACGAACATCACTAATTGAAACATTTGAAAAGGATTGGCCTGAACTTTGTAAATTTTGCCTTTTCCTAAGCACCTATAGTCGTTTTAACTCCAAAAAGCGTAGTGCAAAAGAAAAAAAAAAAAGAAAAAAGGCCGGCTCATCGCAGTGCACGTTAATTTCCCCCTTTTGGGAGAAATTAAGCGTGTTCCGGGAGCAGCTGTTTTTGCAATGCGCAGAAAACAGCTGTTCACCCTACCGAAAAATCCGGTATAACTTTTTGCTATCCGGATTATGGAACCGGAAATCTATCTGGATTCTATCTGGACTCTATCTGGAATTTAGGTTTTCAGAAATTATTCCTTTGTCTGCAATCTGGATTTCGGGTTTCCAGTAACAAATTTCCGGTTCCATAATCCGGATAGTGAAAAGTTATACCGGATTTTTCGGTAGGGCAAGGCAGCACTATATAGAATAAAGTTACCGTATAATAACACGAAGCCACAAAAAAAAAAAGAGCATTGAGATATAGATTTAAACCCGTGTACGGTGTACTCCTAAACTCGTTATGTACTTTTTCATTGTTCTATGACGCACATATATATTGTTGACTTCGTATTCGAGCTCTGTCAACATGCCGCGCATTTTGTTGGCGCACTTTTGGGCCGCCATAGCATCCAGCTGGTATTCTAGTAAATCGTTCGAAATGTACGTGTTCACCCGCAGAGCGTTTCACTGTTCGACGCTCATCTCGGCTCTCAGCGCTCACGCAATCGAATTCAGCGCGTCTCTGCTTTGCCACAAACTTGCGCGAACCACCCAGGAGGTGAAACCGACGAAGCAGCGAGATTTTCAAAACAAAAACAAAAACACCACTGAAGAAAAAAAAAATCATCCTTTTTATTTAAAGTACGAATGCCACGCTCGTTTTTGTCGTATACAAGGAAAACTCTAGCTGTTTTCAGCGCAGTTTACCAACGCATCCCCGAAGCCACAGTACTACCAACGCCACCTATAGACGGTAAAGGCCGTGGTCTTCGCCCCTCAAACGTCATTGCGTCAGCGTCACCACCAGCGCGTCTTGGTTTGTCGCATGGGGCGGGTAGGGGACCCACTAAGGATGACGTCATGAGCTGGCCCTGTCTTCTAGGTGGTATAGTGGCGGTACCCAGTGCCAGGACGTGAGAAAGGAGAAAGAAAAAGGCATTCGACAGGAGGGCACATAAAAATAAATATTTAGATTTGCGCTGTTGGGGATTCCGCTTGAGAGCGGGAGACATCGTCCAAATGGTCCGACATGGAAATGATATAATGCGTGAACACGAGCTGTAGAGGTCCCTCCTACGGACAGTCTGAAACGTGTTAAAGTTCGGGCTTTTCGAACGACCATTTTTTTTTCTCTCTAATTACGAGTTACCTTCTAGGACTCCAAGGCTCGTGTGTACTAACTATATCGCTACTGTTCTGAACGCCCCTAGGATTGTTTCGAACATGTCAAGCCAACGAACTCTTCTACAACTCGTTACAGCGCCCACAATCTCGAATTTCTTAAATTTAAGCGGACGTCGAGTTATAGAAAAATTCTTTTTCTCTTTTATCTCTTGATTCAGGTAACTTTATGTGCTCAAACAGTCCCATTTTATCGCCTCTGCTAGCGCCACACCTTCACAGAGTTTCATCTTTCTGCGATGCGTGGTTTACGTACGCCCGCCGAAAAACCAGGTTTCACTTTCTCGACCTAACCCGTCTTTGGGCGCTATAGCTGATGTAGCCGACCTGATTGGAGTCGCCGGCCTTGTATAATTGTAGAACACCGCCCTACAATTATCTGCACCGGTGCAGGAGGTGCAAGTAAATCGGACGAGCCTAATATATATTAATATCTACCATTTCTTTATATTAATCGAGACTGGGGCGAGAAAACTAAGAAGCATCAAAACGTGGAAGATATATTACTTCGAATTTCTCTTCCACGATTTGATGCTTTTTAGTTTTCTGGCCCCAGTCTCGGGTAATTTCAAGAAATGGTCTCTTTTGGTGTTTTAGATTCTTCAGTCCTGCGATATGCTGACGATATAAAAATTTATAGAGAAATAGTTACTGAACATGATTGAAACCCTGGCAGGAGAGACGTGCCTCTTTGCACCTCCCGCTCTAGGTCCCAACTGGTGCTCCTTGGAGATGGCAGCTTATATGTAGCTACCGACCTCCTCCCCCGCCGGCATGCCCTCAGGGCAATCACAGTCGTGAGAGGGCGGTAATGAAAGTGCGGTAGTCGTGAGGGCATATTGGCGGGGTTGGCAGCAGTGGGTATCCAGTGGGAGTGCAGCTTTTTGTTTATTTGAAAAAAAATACAAAACTAAACACAGTTCCGAGCAGAGGGAGCGAAGGTGGGCTGCCGTGATGGTGAGCCGTACACTCTAAGAAAAAAGGGAGGAAAAAAGTAGCAACGGCGCGCCTTCCTCCCTTCTACCGACGCGCCTCCAAGCGGACACGAGAAAAGGGGAGGAACGAAATGTTTTTCTCCTTCTCCAGGCAGACGGGAGAAAGCTTTCGCCCTCCCGACTCATCGTCTTTCGGTTTCGTTTTTCGAGCAGGTCGCGCACGTTGTTTAATAAATAGCTGTTGAGT